TTTATTATTTTTTTAATTTAAATTTTGTATTTAAAACTTAAAATTTTTATTTTTGTCATTATTTTACCAAATAAATGTAGTGTTTAAAGTAGCGGTGTTTTAGTTATAGCATAAGTATTTTTTTTAATTTAAGCTGTTGATCCTCACATATATCACAAGTAATGGATTAAAAAGCGGACTTAATGGTAAAAGCAATCTTCGCCAGTCAACCTATTCAGGAATACGTACATAAAATTTCAATTCAAAATGTCAAGCTCAGACAAGAAAGTTATAGATTTTTGAGATAAAACGCACCGTTTGGTCCCATAGTGCGCTGCGCTGGTCTTCCAGATCCGGCGCGCTTAAAAACCTGGCAATACGACGTGCACATCAAACTCTACCGTCCGTATTCTATCTCGTCTATGTTCGCTGTTCGGCGTGGCGTGTTGATAGTCCACCTCTAGCTACGAGCATAGGGTTAAGTGCTCGTAGAACTCTAGCTTATAAAAGTTCTGTAGTGCGTAACGGACGCATTGACGGACGTCGTAGTAGCTAGATCTGGTTTTATAACTAAAACGATTTGATAAGAACGGTAAGAATATATTATTATCATTGGTGTTTATTCTTCTCTCGAGAGAAATAAACCATCGAGAGTAAAAAAGATATTTATGTGACAGCCTAAGGCTTAGTTATTAATCCTGCCTGCGAATTGAGGGGTCTCGGGTTAGACCATAATTAGAGATTATGGTATGCGTAGGTATGGTTGCGGTCTGTGGTAGCCGTTTACGGCCTCATCACTCCAAACTGACATTTACATCCACACAGTCTGAAAAGTACCACGGCGTGCGCTCTGATAAGTTTTACATACAACAGAGAGCATGCTTCGGAGTAGCGCTTAAGGTTTTCTGTGCTCAGAAGCGTGTTTCCCTATTACGTGTAGGGTTGCCAGCACCTTTTTTAATGTTTTCGAAAATTTGATAACATAACATTAATAAAGGACACATGATGAAGATAAAAAATGCAATGTTAATACGCAATGTAACGTAGTTTGTCATTTACAACGCCTTAAACTAGGTATCACTTTGCCATACGCACGCATTCATTTTCCCCAAAATAAAGGTTAAAGTGTTATCATAGATTAAATTTGAAAAAGAAAATGCTGAAATAGAGGACGTCCTGTAATAATGACGTCTGGCAACAAACAAAACCCTAATTACGTGGTAGTAGCAGCGAGGACATGGCGCAAAACATCACCTGAAAGAACGAAATGATCCCGTGATCTCCAATTCACCATCTCATGTTAGTCAGAAGTATATAAAATTGTGTTAATTTCTTATATTTATTTTTATTGACATAATGCTGTATTTTTTACAGGATAAGGGTGACACCCTTACACCCCCCCCCCCCCCTAACGAGCACACAGTTCACCTGATGGTAAGTAGTTACTGTAGCCTATAGTCATTTACGGCTATCCTCGATTATGAATTAAAATGCAGAAGCGTTGTCACCCGTGAGAACTAAGATGGAATGCCTCGTTTCCAGTAAAAAGAGTCTCCTGTTTTCTACATTCACCATACGAAACACGACAGCGTTGAGCTGCTATTTTACGCTGGTATTCTGTGAGAGCGTGGTCTTTCCCCGGTCGAGTGTAACCTTCGTGCTATAACTATACTACTTATATAGCTGTAGCATGGCTCTACCTCTCCATCCTCTGTTGGATGTCCTTATCAAATAAATAAATTACAAAACTAGGAAAAAAAATTGGTTGACCCTGCAGTCCATCCCTGGAACTTCCTGCTAATTTCAAATGCAAAGAGCTCCAAATTTCACCGAATTATGACGTTGAATATGTAAGATCGGAGTAATTTAAAAAAATCATTTTTTTTCAAAAATTTTCGTTAACGATATCTCACGAACGAATTAACCGATTTTGACCGGACCGGAAGCGATTGACGACTTTTTTCAAGGTTAAAAGGTGATTAGGCTTTGGAATCTATCACTAAAACCGTTTAAAAGTTATTGCAAAAAACAGTTTTTCCAAATTTTTATGTTTGAGATTTCTCAAAATCTGCCGGTCCGAATTAGTTAAATATCATAGGAAATCTAAATTTGATGAAACACTTTGGAAATCCGCTTAGTTCATTTCAATCGGCCAAGCTGTTCAAAAGTTATAAGAGGTTACGAGAGGGTACGTACACACATACATACAGACACCATCGAAAAATTGTCAGGGTGGCTTCCTGTGACCTCAAAACGTCATGATTTGATGAAAACTCAATTTTCGAAAAACGTGGTAAAACAATAACTTTTCGATTTTTGAAAATTTACAATTTTCTCAGAGGGAAGTTAAAAATAAGGGACGAACCGGCTCAACAAGAGAAGCGGGATTAGGCCTCCTGTGATATCAGCATAATATGTGATTTCATTTACCACACGGTCCTTAAAATAGCATATGTCCATTATCCAGTACTAGAGTAGGGTGCTGATGATGATGATAAGGGAGAAGTAATTTTTATTTTTTTCATTTAGAAATGTTCATTTAATTTCGATTTAACTGTTTAAATTAAACTACAAATGAAGCAGCCATGTACTATGTATCGTTTACTTAATTTATTTTGTACAAACTTCAACAATATATATAATATATATATATATGTAATTAATAATCAATTAAACATCTATCATTCAGCAAAATGAACTCACTTTTTGTCATAAGTATATTAAAATAAACAATATATATATAACTTATTGTCTAAACTTAATTAAACACAACTTTTTTGTGCCAATATGCCTAATAGTAGTTATAACGTTTGGTTAAACCAACACAACTAGAACTTCCGGATATGATAGTTAAACAAAATTTATTCTATGCATCTCGGGACGGCTCACTTTGATGAGATGTAGGAATCGGAACGTCAAAAGATGTTTTTGTCTTATACAATTTATTTGTGCGACCGACTTGCACGTAGAACGATTGTTAAGCAAACATCTGTTTAACTATTAATGACGGACTTTTATACGTTCTCATTGAAATGGGCCGTCCAGTGATGTGGGGTCTTCGTCGATTTGCAGCCAACGAGCTATCTGTTGAACAAAATGCATGAGCCAAAACGTAGGGAATAAAAGGGTGTGAGGGAAGGGATCCAGCAGAGAGTTCGCGCGCGATGGGGAATTTCGCTGACGCACTCCCTGCGCTCCTTCCTCCAATAAAGTATCTACATATTATTTATTATCTGTAACAATAATCTTTATTGCAAAATATGTGCAAAACGTCAAGCGTCTCATTTTAATTTACAATACACTGACTCTTAAAACTTTTGCAACATTTAGACTGTCTCGCACTTCAGAAAAATTTTCACTTTTATTTCAAAATGAATCAAAAACAACCGACACACAACTATTCGGTGACATGTTTCATGACGTAAAGCGAAATATCACGAGCACACGCTGACGTCATTGCTTCAAGCTTGTTACGTATCGCTGCGCGACTCGCCGTACGAATAGTACTGTGATAATAAAAGTGTGGCGACGTGCGTGCTCGGGGAACACCCGGCGGTAAGCTCTCATTATTTACAGATAAGTAGAAAATTGACCACATTCAAAGTTAATTTACAAAAGTTTAATGATAAATAATTATTGTTGTGCTAGAAAAGACAACGCTGATAAAACTCAATCATCGGCACGACGCCCGCGACCCGGCGACGTGGCACCCGACGACTCCATTGACTGCGCTACTATCTAGAGTGATGTCAATCGAAAAATAAAAACATCTGAATAATATCTACCTTACTCGGTAAGGGACGTTCGATCTCTTAGGTATTATCAATAATCTTATTGCTAATATCGGTGGTTCTTTTGATAGCCGATTTGGGTCGTTTCCGGTGACGGTTGCGTGCCAGCGACACGACAAGAGAACGAGCGAGGTCGAACAGAGCGGTACCGGCCGCTCGCAGCGTCGCGACGGATCTCGCCTCAGCTAATGTAATTGGGGAAGTTTCGATTACATTAACTACGTGGAGGTGCGCGTTACGTAAAATGGCTCGATTCCTATGATGCATCTGAATTAGGACGGAAGTGAATTCTGGTACCGACTTCACTGTTGATTTGCTAAGCTTACATAGATAACCTTGCAAAAATTCTTCTAAACTCTTTAACTTCGAGGCGTCCGACCTCGACTAGTAAGATAGACGTAGAGTCGTCAATACGGTACAGTAAGAAGCGTAAAAATTGGAACTATTAAAACTATTACGGACAAAATTGATATGAATCGGCGTAGCCTTTGCTTTCCTTAAGCGTTAAGGTATTATTAGATACGATTATAATAACGTCCGAACGCGATGGACGAGTCGAAAAATGTTTCATGAGTGATACACGTAATTATGTGGTGGCGATGAATTTACTTCTTGCGTATAAAGTTTAAACAATTGGCATAAGTTTGAGCGCTGCGTAGTTTACGGCTGCAAAGCGGCCCGCGGCCTCGCGGCAAGCGGAACTTAAACCAAGCTAACATCTCTCTGCGTCGATCTCCCGTTCTCGACGGCACTGAAACTCTACCACTGTACGACACCATTTCGGGGAAGACAAAATGATTCCTTACAGTAGTCGAGCGACGCGCACGGCGGCGTCCCGATAAGTGCTCATCGCTCATCGATTTAAACTTTACACAGAGACAATTATCGAATACAAAAATAAGCCTTTAGAGTCTTCACAGTTTTACCCGTCCTCTTACATCACTAATCCGTGAAACAGAATGGCGTGCCACCTAAGAACTATCCTCACGAACCGGTCACACCCGGGGTAGGTTCGACGCGTCAACACAACAGAACACGACAGAACACGCGACGGTGGGTCGCAGAAGAAGCAGTCTCTCGAGCGTCGCCCGCGGCGGGTCCCCGCCGGCGGGGTGGGGCGGGGCGGAGCTAGGGGCGCGCGGGCGGGCTGAGCAGGTCGGGCAGCGGCGCGGGCAGCGGCAGCGGCGCGTCGTCGAGCAGCGCGGGCAGCAGCGCGAGCGCCAGCGCGGGTCAGACGGGCGCGGGAGGTGGCGCGGGCTCCGGCGGCCGCGGCGCCGCGCCGCCCGCCTGCAGCACCACGCGGTGCCCGTTGGGCGTCACCGCGTCCAGCAGCACCGCAGTGGGCGCACCCTCGCTGCCCGCGCCCCCGCCTCCGCCCGCACCGGCCTCCACGTCCGAGGTGTCGTCGTGCGCGCGCCGGTGCCGCCGCCAAGCGTGCTGGATAAGCCGCGCGCAGTACTCCTCGCGTTGCCGCCACAGCGTCGACGACACTGGCTCGTAGCCTGCCTCGTCCGGCCGCCCCACCTCCAGGTCGCCCGTCTCCTCGATCGGGTTGCCCTTCCGCGCGAAGAAGTCCTTAGTCAACGCGTCCAGGATGTCCACGCAGAACATCATGTCGCCTCGGCATATCGGTATGTCCATGGATATTATTTTGTACTTGTTCGGCTTGTGTATCTGTAGCGGCGGCTCGAGGACATCGAGGAAGTCGGACAGTTGGTCGTAGCGGATGTACTGGGTTCCGTCGGGGTCGAATCGTTGCCATATCTCGTAGTACATATCGTAGTCGTCATCGGTCAGACCTTCTTGGACGTCCTCCGTGGCCTGTAAATAACCCCAATATATTATATTAATTGCTCACTAAACCCTCCATCTTATCTCGTTATATCTAAAGATTAAGTGTTTACCTGTGAGTAATTTTCGAGAATAACAGCAATGTACATGTTGATGACGATAAGGAAAGAGATGACGAGGTAAGACAGCAGATAAGTAATGCCGATAGTGGCCGACCCACAATTTCCTGGAGAACCACGTTCGTTGTCGGGCAAATCACATTCTTCTTCGTTAATTATGCCATCCAAAACCCCGTCCCAGCCGGCTGATGTTGACATCTAAAAATCAATCAACATAATGATTGGATAATTTCGATTCTGGAAAGATTTTAAATAAAGAAATATCGAATTTTACTAAAAATAATACAAATATCTAGATTTACAAGCTGAGACTTCCTAGTGGAATCCTATTTGTATGTGTATTTATATATCATACATTATATATGGATTAAAACACATTAAACAAGTACTCATTGAGTAGATAATGGAATATATGACACGACCATTTAAAAAAAACTAATGAGCAGTGGTGTGATATATCCTACCATAACCCTACAATGTTTGTTAGACGATACTGTGTTTAGATTTTACTTCTAGATTAAGAATAACGATATTGTCAATGTCAAGTTATAGTCTGTAACAAGCTTTATCTATCATTGAAAAAATGTTATACTTAAGTAAGTGACCAGCGTTGCTGAGTTCACAATAATAAAAAAATGTGTGGTAATTACATTAGATAAGTTGATAATTGGGAACTTGTTTGTGGTCCGAAGTTTAATAAATTAAAAAAAACTGTATAGCGTATAGAATGTAAATATTTTATTTACCTGAAATAGTAAAATCATGCTCTGCACGAACGTTTTAAAGTTATAAACGTCGTCGAGTCCACCTTTGTTTTTGACGTGCATGAAAAACGACATCCCGAATATTGCGAATATAAACATGACTAGGAACAGCAAGAGGCAGATGTTGAACAGCGCCGGCAGTGACATGGCCAAGGCGAACAACAGCGTCCGGATACCCTTAGCTCCTTTTACCAATCGGAGTACTCGGCCAACTTTCGCCACCCTGACGACTCTTAGCAGAGTCGGCGACACGAAGTACTTTTCTATAATATCGCTTAACACCAAACCTGTAAACGTAATAACGATGTCGATTATTCGAATATGTTTAGAAATTTTCGATGATCAAATGCAATGAATGCGAAACGTTTTGAAATCTTTGTATATTTTTAAGCTATTGCATAGCTTCTATCGCGGGCCTTGAGCGCGGGGACCGAATCCAGAAATTCATTCCGTAACGAAAAAACCTCACGCTTCCCACTCCGACGGGCACGGAGGTGTGGCGTTGAAAGCCGTGCATCGTCTAACGTCGTTTCAGTTCGGCATACTTCGGCACTCGGCAGACTTCGGCACGGTGTTTGTGTGCGTGCGACTAGACGTAGCGTGCACTAGCTACTAACTCAATGATAAAAATTCCTGAAAAACCTACATGTATTGTATGATATTAAAAATATTTTAAACAATATTAACTTCTCATTTATTCAAGAAGAGAAAAAAATTATTTTCTTATCCGTCACCACGCTCAAAAAGTGTAACTTGATTTAATATCAAAGACTTAACTGCATAAATAAAATAAATAAATAATTATAATTGCATAAGTTGATAAAAAATGCTATGCAATAGCTTTACCGCGGCAGTCACCGAGTGCCACACGTATTTTTTTATATAAGATGTGGCAAACGAGCATGCGGCTCACCTGATAGTAAGTGAATACCGCCTATATTATGGTCTGATTAAAAATTGAAAGTTATCATATAACAACATATGCTTAGGTAGTACTCGTATCTTCTTTCTTATGAAGACCGGAACACGATCATAACGAATATTTAATCAGGAGGTTCTGATCAGTAGCGGATGGACTACACTATGAGAAAGAATTAGATAATTGTGAAGTGGATGATGACCTATTCCTAATCTGAATTATGTCTAATGAGAGAAAGAGAGAAAGCAAGAGAGAGGAGAGAAAGAGAGGAGAGAGAGAGAGAGAGAGAGAAAGGGGGAGAGAGAAAGAGAATTCAGGCTGATGACGATAGTGAAAATACAAATATTTTATGTTTTAATAAGTTACTCACTTAGTATAGAGAACATAACAACAACAAAATCGAAGAGGTTCCATGGTTCGACGAAGTAATGGTAGCGTAAGGCGAAAATTTTCAAGAGGCACTCGGAGCTGAATATCACAATGAATATCATGTTGAGGTAGTCAAGCACTGCGCTGAACGTATCGGACTGCTGGTAGTGGTCCAACGTCATCGTCAGCATGTTCAGCCCGATGAACAGCATTATGATCATGTCGAATTTCTTGTCCGTCACGATCTCGAACACAATCGCTTGTGGCCTCCACTGCAATTAAGTAACAGTCATTACTGGAATATTAATAAAAAAATGAAAGTCGTAGACTTTTCGTACGTCCCACTTTTGGGCACAGGCCTCGTCATATTTCTGAGAGGGTATTAGTTTTTAGTTTAATGCATGTTAGCGGACACTAAGTAACTGTGAAATATTTTTTTCATTTCTAAGACAACATGCTGTGGTAAATCAAAACTTAAAATTGTAATTAACAATAATTTCTTTAGTGCCGCGTGGAACGAACAGTTTTACTAGACTCGCTTTTGCTTGTTCATTTACTAGACTCGCTTTTGCTTGATCATTTTAAAATTATATGGTACTTATCCCTTGAGCTACCACGGCTCTATTAACATTACATACCTAACAAGACATTAGCTGCTGTGAGACTATACTTATGTTTTGGCTTTGAATGTCAGCAACGTCAATTTTACGTAGAATAAAAAAAGGTTTTCCTTTAGAAATGAATTGATAATATAAATATATTATCAATTCATATTCATAGATACATAAACTCGAGAACAAAAGTACTTGCCAGGTCAAGCAATTCTTACCTTTGGTCTGGGTATAGCTTTCAAAGGCTTTTTAGAACCCATTTTCTTCATGGCGTTGTAGTACTTTTTCTGGTCCTCGGTCATGAACATCTCGAGACTCCCACCGGCTTTCTTTTTCTGTTCGTTGAAGTTGTCGATGATCACACCGATGAATAGGTTCAAAGTAAAGAATGAGCCGAATATAATGAAGAACACGAAGTAGAGGTACATGTAAATATTCGTCTCTCTGATGGGTTGCCGGTCAACCTAAAAGAAGAGATTGTATATTACTATTATTCAAATATGTATCAACAGCTTTAACATGTAGTTTGGCGAAGAGGCGGTTCACATGCCTCTTGTAAAAACCAAACTGTACAAAAGAGCTAATTTAATTCTCAGATGAAAGAAAAACTCAACCGGAAACTAATTACCAATTTGGCATAAATTTACGAACCAAAACATAGTACGATTAGTAGGTTGATTGGCGCTTTTGATATCACATACTTCCTGCCTTTATTACATATTTCATAATATTTCAGATCTGGCAATTCTTCTCGGTAATTTCCTTAATCAAATTTTACAACACCCCCGGTTAAAAGTGGAGCGATGGATTTTCGTACAAAAGGCAAATTCAAATATACGAATAAAAATATTAACTAGTACTATTACCTCTCTGGAGTCAATGGCGTCGTTCATAATCTGGATCCAGCCTTTGAAAGTGGCAACTTGGAATAGACATAAATATGCCTTGCCCACGTGGTCGAAGTTCATTGGTGAGTTCTCCCATGTATAATTTTCTAGAATGCACGCATTTCTATCCGGTATTATTTCATGACTCATGGTCGTATGATTTAAATCGACACACTGGAATTACATTAATGTCTTTTAACATATATTTATATTTAAGTGTCGCATTAGCGAGCGTTCTTCGCGTGTTGAAAAAATTGAAAAAGTTTTTGCAGCAGTCTATGTTTAAAAAAATGATATCCGTATTTATTGTTATAGATTTTAGTTGTGAGGATACGCATATTACAATTGCCATGCTTTTTTATAACAAGCGAATGAATTTACGATCATAATATTATCATAAGATTTTCTTTATAATGTTGCTTCGTGTATTCGCGTTTCGCGTATATTTAACCGACTTCAAAAGGGTGGGTAGTTCCCAATTCGAGTGTATATTTGTATTTTTTGTATGTATGTTACGCGATATCTTTGAAGATTGTAAACCGATTTTAATAATTCTTTTTTATTAAATTGGCTTTACCCCAAGAGCGGCCCCATTAAAAAAATTCCGCCCCAAGGGTGGGAAATAGGGGAAAAGAGTTACATATTTGACTATCGTTTAAGGAATTTCATATGATATCTTCGCAGATTTAATAGGTCCACTATTTTAATGATTTTTCTTCTTAAAAAGGTTATACTTCAAGGGTTGTCCTATTTGGAGAAAATTCAAGTTGCTTGTTTGAGTGGTTTTTTTTTTAAAAGTTAATATTAGTCATAAGTTCGGCATTCTTTTGTAGACTATCTTTCGTAGTTCATTGAACCAAGAAAGAGTGTCCATACAATAGTACAAAATAGCTTATTTAGGTTAGACTTGTTACGACGCAATCATATAATGAATTTCATACAATATTTCTGGTTTAAATTATATATTAATTCATTTATTAATCTGAATTACTACTTGTTCATTCTAAGAATGCCGTTACCTCCCGCCGCGCTCCCCCACTCCGCACCTCAAGTGTCGCCCAGTTGGGACCGATAGCAGCGCCTTCCTAATGTTTTACGTATTTGATATATTTTAAATGTAAAATAAAACTAAAAATTTTTTAATTATAATATTTTATATTTGTATTGGACACGTACCTATTCACTGTTATTATTTCACTTTACTCAATAAATTATTTTATAATATGCATTTTATCTACTTGTTTTCTCTCAATATCTGTGTACAGGATAAGAAACTACTTACTTATCAACTCGACAAAAAATAGTCCTCATGTTTATGTGATATTATAGATAAATATGATAAATTATTTGTCTACGGTACCGTCAGCTGTGATATCATAACGGTCGACGACGGCAAACTTGAAATGAACGCGTAGTTACGATGTATTTGTCCTTTTAACCTTAAAAAGGCATATATACAATATGTAACGTTATTAACGCACACCCTCAGACACCCCAATTAGTATATTATGTTATAATCATAATACATACACTGAATTTTAGTTAAACATTTTTATGCACTGATTATTTATCAAATTAGTTATACTAATTCCGGAAGAATGTTGTGGTCACAGTACAAATCCACGAACGCAAAGTCTTTAATGTGCTTGAAATAACGTTCATTTTTCTTTATTTTTATTCAATGACAGAATTAGTAACAATACAAATAAAACTGCACTCTTAAAAGTCTTATTGCCTTAAGTTAAGGTCCATTTCAGTTTGTTTTGACTGTACAGATTTAGTGTGACTGTAATTTACGTAGTTTTAATTATTTTTGGGATAAAACATTACGTATCTTAAAAATGATAGGAATCGATTCTGAACAAACTACTTTCTCAAAGTGCGTTAATTATGTTACATGTTTTATATATAATTTTTTCAATTGTACGGTACAGCTCTAAGTGTTTCAAGTAAGTCCAGTCAAGAATTCGAGAATAATTTTACGCAGCAAGCACTATTAATATAATATACATTGCTTTAAACAAAATAAAAATAACAAACCTTGAAGTACTTCCCAGCAAAAAGTTGCACACCCATGATCGCAAAGATTAGCCAGAATATTAGACACACAAGTAGCACGTTGAAGATGGATGGTATAGCCTGCACTAGAGCGTTCACTACCACCTGTACACGAAACATCCAATATATTTTTTCATATACATATAATATATACTATATAATTGTATATTAATAATAAATAAAAATTAGCTGCAAATTATGTATCAGCAAACAATTTGTGTATGTTTGCTTTTAATTAATTAAGTATACTATAATTGAAAGCTTTGTTTTAATTAAGCAGGTTAATAAAGAAACATATTATATTGTATGTAATATATAAAAAAATAGCTGTAGCTGAATTTATAAAGTATTTTTCATATTATATTACTAAGCATTATGAATGTTTACATAACTAAACATGCAAAAACACAAAAACACAATTTCATGCAATATGGCCACTAATATGATCTATGCATTCTAACTTACCACCTCTTATTAAATCATGAGTACTAAAGGCATGCGAATTCGAACAGATCCTACGATGTTCTTGCGAGAAGAAAAGTCTAAAGTGCAGAATCAAAAATAAGAATTTACTTAACTAGGAAAAATAAACTCTAATATTAGTAACGGTAATCAAGAGAAAGAATGGACCAAAAGAATGAAATGAAATCTGTCGACATGAAACCTATTGAGTGGTTATACTGAGGATGAGACGAATCGAGATGATACTAAGCCATTCCTGGGTGCCACCGGAGTCGTCACAATGATTCGCTAGTTGTTAAGAATCGAGTCGACTACTGCCATGAGTTCGTTACAACTTTGTAAAGGAAACAACTACAAACATGATATCCAATTACTGATAAAATTATTGAAAGGAAGGGTACTTTTGATTTTGTGGTGTACTTGAGTTGTGTGTTGGTGAGTGAAGTTGAGCGATGTGGGTGTGGGTGTAGGGTGGAGTGGTGAGCCGGGCCCGAGCAGGGCGTACGTACCCTCATGCCCTGCATACGGCTCATGGCCCTGAGCGGGCGTAGCGCGCGGAGCGTTCGCATCGTTTTGAACGCCTGAATGCCACCGGCGCCACAAAGCGCCGCTACGAAGTTTATAAGCGAGACCTGATGAAATCAACATGTATTTTGAGAACACACGGTAAGGACACATTAAATTCACTAAACAATGTATAATTGTTCGCTGATAACATCACCTATATCACCTTCCAAACACCTTCCAAAGAGATAAAAAATAATACGAGCTTTGGAATATATAAAGACCAGTATGGATCCAGTAGTGGATGACGAGTGTAACGACAAATCTCAAACAACAACAATATAAGAAACGGCGAGTGAGGAAGACGGAAGTAATACCGAAAGGAAAGTTTTTAATATGCCTCATTGATAAGTAAAACAAGGACCTGACAAAAAGCTGAGAAAGCACAATAAATAAATATACATGTAGGTATTTATAGGTATAACCAGGAAAATACATTCAGAGAGTTGAGTAAGATGTCAGAGAAATAATGGCTAGTAGTAATGTTATATTATTTCTCTGATATCTCGTGATTGACACTGAAAATACACACGAAAAATAAATTATTTACATAAAAATATTACACCAATAGCACTCAGAACAGATTTGTTGCCGCCTGCATCTTAAACACTTGAATAAAGCATGCATTCGGATAGTCTCGCTTTTAAGGGCAAGACGTTAGATAAATTATTGTGACTAAAGAAGATATTGTCAGATAAGAGCTATTGTCACAGAGAATGGAAGCAAACGTTGAACGACATACAATAAAAGAGACATCGAGAGCTCGTGTCAGCGGGAACTGAGTCTCCTCTGCAGATAACATCGAACAGTCAAAGCTCCACGCTTCTTGCTTACGCTGCACATTGAATAACTTTTTTAAGAATTTAAATACGTTATGAAACTTACAAAATATATGTTTTAGATCATAATGTGACGTTAAAACTAAAAGGTTGTATCAATGGGCAGCGTAAAGAGCCATATCGGGTAACCAAACTCCATGTTGGGTAATCGCTGGCAGCGCGTACTCACGCGCATCCCTTCCCATCTGGAGACAGCACGAAGGGGACGGAGAGCCCGCAAGGTTCTCATCGACCGAAACGCCGGGATGTCGTCCGCGCCCGCCATCACGGCTCCGTGGTTTATCAGTGACAACTAACGCGACATCATTCGTCATTTACAAGAACTATTTGGTACAGAATTATATTATGTCAAAGATTTATAGATGTCTTTTCCCTTAGCTGCACCAGTCTGAATATTATATTTTATTTTATAAAATAGATTTAATGTTCACTTCGACTTAAACACAATACAATACATCTGTTCTAAAATGAAGCTGTATGAAACATGTTAGTACCGGATTACATATAACCATAATATACGTAATCAAAATATTTTTGCTAATTATTCTACTAATATAATGCATCGATAATTAAATTTTCTTGAAAAACCTCATTTAATTCTATCATTGTTAATAGAACTATCTGAAAATAAGTGCATATTTGAATACTTACCATGACAATGATGAAATCAAGCCAGCACCAAGCATTGGTAAAATATTTCTGGAAACCAAGCGCCAACCACTTAATCAACATTTCAATGAAGAATATCACAGTGAAAATACGGTCCATGTAGTAGAGAATATCTTGAAGGATTGGCCGATGCGGTAAATGTACATCTTCTAAGGCCTAAAATATTATATGTAAAGATTATTATTTTTTTAAATATTTCTTTAAAAATATTACAATTTCTATTTAGAAACGGTGTTAAATGAGTACTCACCAAGGCTAAACTGCTAAGTAAGATCATTGTAATAACTGCAGTTTCAAAATAAGTGTTTTCAATCAGTCTAAATGTTTTTAATCTAAGTGTAGCCCATCCTTGCCAGAAAGGCGACTCATCATCACCCGCTAAAAAGGGGAAACGCACATAACATGGCTCAGGACAACAGTCAGATGGCGAATCATCTACAACATCCTCGTCTGCAGCTATAATTATGTCATGTTTTCCCAGAACATCCAATTTGCCGTCTTCATCCTCCTCGATCATTTCTGAAATAATATTTACATAGTTGATACGAATGTATTAGTAGTGAACGCAGGAAACAGAGTAAATGGAGCCCTGCACTCTATTGTGAAGAGTCAAAATGTGTCAAAAAAGGCACGTATGGCAATTCACAATGCGGGGTTGGTCCCTACTTTAACGTATGGTAGTGAAAGTTGGGTATGGCAGAAGAAGCACGAGAGTAGAATAAATGCAGTAGAAATGCGGTCGTTAAGGAGTATGTTAGGGCTGAATCTGAATGACAGGGTGAAAAATTGTGTGATAAGAGAAGAGTGTGGTTTGCAAGATGATGTTGTGACCAGGATTAAGAAAGGAATGCTTCGGTGGTTTGGTCATGTGGAAAGAATGGATGAGGAAAGAGTGACAAAGAAAATTTATGTTGCAGAAGTGAATGGCAGAGTCGGAAAGGGACGTCCTAGGCGAAAATTTATCGACCAAATTGGCGATTTATTGAAAACGGGCCAAATTAGGAGTACCCTTAACCGACGAGCATGCATGCGTAGGTGTATGGATGTGAAGGAGGCGAGAGAGGTGTGTCAGGATCGTGCCAAATGGAAGTCTGTAGTCTCTGCCTACCCCTCTGGGTGACAGGCGTGAGTGTTTATGTATTATGTATTTATGTATTAGTAGTATATTACTTATAATAACTTGAAGCATATTTTTATTATTGTTTCATTTATTCGTATATATCAACTTTAAGGTCTTAGCTCACTACAACCGCACATACTATGAACGTGTTATGAATACACAGTATGAACGACGTACCATACGCGTATACAATGCGTTCAGTGACGGTATCATTCCCGAAGAAAGTCAGTTCAGAAGAACACCTCAGGAGGTGCAAAGCGTCTATCCAAGCCCTATTCAAAGATTGCCTGATAACAGGGACATTTGCCGTAGTTGTCACACTTGTGACACTACGGCAAATATCCTGCTGGCTGGTGGCTGGGTGTTGACATCTGCACTTTTAATTTTCTAGTCTTTTATTATGAAGACGCTCCTGCCCACTTGCGTTCCGCTTGTTTTCTTGTCGCCTGTTACTTTTATTGGTCACGTGACGATATGTGGTAGTGGATCTTACACCGCCACTAAACGGCGTGTAGAATACTCTTAGCCACCTTGTTGTAAAAAAAACATTAATATTGGCTGCGTTTGGCAGAAAAAAGCGCTAAGAAGCGCTTGTAAGCAAAATGGCGAAACTAAACAGTTTGCGGCCAGGACACGTTTGCCAACTTCAGTAGCGCTGACACAATCCGCCATTTTGCTTATTTACTTTGTTTGTTTTGAAGTAGAGTTTATAAGTTGTTTTCTGCAATATTAGTTTCAAGTAATATAGCTACTTGAATAAACATATTATACATGTTATTAACAATTCATGATTGGTAAGTTTTAATATGAATACTTTACAAACATATATTTAAATTAGGTTTGGTTCCCCGGTTAAAGCTAAATTCGTGTCCTAGAGGAAAATAGCTACTTACGATTTGACAGCGCTTACCGCTAACAATCGCCATTTTGTTTACAAGCGCTTCCTAGCGCTTTTTTTTGCCAAACGTACTAAAATGGTTAAACGGTGGCTATTGAAAATTGTCTGTAATTGGCAATTATATCTATTATTTTAAACAACGGTTAGCATACGCGAGTATAACGCGTAAAGTTCGTAGAGTGGTCGGCAATGTCGCGATCCATTATCATCAAAATCATCATTACAGCCCTTCACAAGACCGCTCCTGAAAACTTGTGGCATTCCTTCACCTAAGAACGCCACACAGCGCAGTCCTGAGTCACCTAAATCCCTCAAATTTCTGCATCTCTTAACAGTGGATGTCCATTTAGTGGGTGTCGCTCAACACTTCGCTTTCCGGTACGTGACTGCTACTCAAGAATGTGTGCCGTGCTTATATCGTTCCGGTCATGGCACGTTACGGTGTTCATCGGTGACGGAACGGTCTTGTAGGCGTTGGTTTTTAATTAATTTTATATCATCTTTTGCATTTGCCGAAACGATTATGGTTATGTGATAGAATGTTGTAACGAGTAGAGACCTTTAAATAGCGGAACTTGTTTTATTTATTTTTTTATGAAAATAGAGGCAAACCAGCATACGGCTAATGTACCTGATGGTAAGTGAACACCGTCATAGTCAGATAGCATGTCGTCTACAAAAAGCATGTTGTAGTTGTCCGCAGTTATGATTATGTCATATTTTCCTTTACTAAAGCCTCTTTAGTATAGGGAAATATCCTCATATACTATACTACGTTTTACGGAACTTGAAAAATATTTCAACAAACCTTCTTCTAAACCTAATTCTTCTTTGCTAGCATCTTTCTTTTCTTCACCATCAATCGTGTCCGCGGAGCCCTTGTGACTCTCATCTTTGAAAGATCTTATCTTATGACTTCCGTACGATTTTTGACTGATCGTATCATCATCCTGCCGACATTTTATCGTATTTGAGACTAGCTCTTAATCAGATATAAGTAAGGTAAGTACAGATATTCTTAAATATTTTTTTATATTGCAGCTAAATGGTTAGCGCTCGCAATACGCGAGCAAACCGGGTTCGATCCCCGCCGGCACCAATGAAATTGTTAATTGCAATTTTAAGTACTGATTTACCACGTGCTCGCCGGTGAAGGAAAACGTCGTGAGGAAACCTGCATGTCTGAGAAATAAGAAAAAAATATTTCGAAGACATGTGAAGTTCGCCAACACGCACTGGGGCAGCGCGGCGGACATTTCCTTGCCCTAAAACCCTCTCAGAAATGAGAGAAGGCCTGTGCCCATCAGTGGGACGTATATAGGCTGTAACTTTACTTTTACTTTTTGCAGCTATATTAGTAGTATAGTTGTAGCACGAATGGGTTGGCTCGACCGGGGAAGGACCACACTCCTACAGAACACCAGCGTAAAATAGCAGCTCAAGGCTGCTGTGTTTCGTGTGGTGAGTGCAGAGAACCGGAAACCCTTTTTACTGGAAACAAGGCATTCCATCTTAGTACTCAGGAGTGGCAACACATTTACATTTTAATTCTTAATCTAGGATAGATATAGATGTCTGTGGCCTATAGCATCCACTTACCACCAGATGGACTGTGTGCTCCTTTGTCACCATTATACTATAAAAAATGTATTTCTAGTACGCTAGTAGTATAAAATTGTAAATGACGTTATATCATTACCTGTATTGGATATCCATGATGATTTAACTCACAATTGATTCTATTATCAGTATGATTATCTGTAATTGCATTTATGTTATTAATTAATATTTTTCCTTTCTTGTATTTATTGTCACCTGAAAATGAATTTAAAACACAAAGATTACGTTTGTTCACGATATACTCGTAAATTACTAACGTAAAGTATTTTTTGAAAATGGCAATTACCTGGTATTGTAAACTCCATGCCATCGCCAATTGCAACTTCAACTTGGTCTTTCAATTTCTTGTCCTTGTATAGGACTCCGTCATCGATATCCACTCCTAGTTCCAGTTCGTTGTCGACCCGTTCTGAAGAGACACAGCGGCCGCATAAAGCCGCCTTTAAGCCTAATTTTCGCGTCATTCCACCGTGCGTCAACGCCGCCAGCATCCAAGCATAGAAATCAGACCAGGACGAAATAACTTACGATATGTACTCCAGTCAATACAACTTCTTAAGTCACGATAAGGCGGAATGATAAAAATAAAGATTTTTAACATGCTCTATTAAATTATGTACATTACCATTAACATTATTATATTATGATTATTTTAAACAGATCTACGTATAATTCACAAAAGGATTTTTTCCGAAATGAAGCTTTAAAGTATATGTTTATCGAGAGAACATATAAAAAAAAATTGTGTCTGTAACAGTACCTAATTTGGTGTCTTTTAAGTTTACTGGTATATAATAGTGGATGGAGGAGGATATACTTATTATAATTATATATATTACATTTTGATTATTACACAAGAAAATCAAGTTGATTTTTTTAAATTTCGGTATTGGTTTCGTAAATATTTCTAATATTAAAAAAGATAGTTTCCAATCCAGTTTCCAATTATCATTTTAGGTACTAAATATTTTTGTTCTTTAAAACTTAACTCAAAATGGCGATCATAAAAAAATGAACAAAAACAAATTTAGCGAGTTATCAAACCATAAAATCATCAATTGGGAATTTCAAACATACATAAAAATAATACACACCCATCAAAACATACATTTTAATTGTTTACTTAAAATAACATGCACGAACATCGACACACACATACAAAGCGAGTTATTTTTGTAGATAATTTAATAAAAGATAATAGGTAGAATGTATTAAATTATTCTCAACAATGTTCCTACAGAAACGCTTAACTTAGCTGCTTGTGTAATCTGTGCTTTAAGGATCATATATTTTAATTCAATACAGAGGCAGGATATTCCCTGTAGTTGGCACCCGCCATTTTTATTATTCATTCATTCATTATAACCTATGAAAAATTAACTGCTGATTATAGGCCCCTATGAATTGGCTAATAGGGGAGGGGGAGGGGAGGAGGTGGGGGGGGGGGGGAGATATTTAACATAGTCGACACGCTTGGCAGGTGGGCAGTTCTTAGTATTATTATTTTAAATTGTTAACACGAAGATGCTGCCCATATGCTGTTTCGTGTCCCTCTGATCCCGCGGGTGGCGTAAGAGCTTAAACTGTGGTAAGAGGCAACCCTCAATAATAAGATATCTTAGGGATTCTCTAATGTCGCCACTACACGGCGCGATTTTTGTTATTATTGAATTGTTACTAATATGGAATAAAACTATTTTTTACGGATTTTATCGCGTTTAATTTAACTTTTTAATTCCCGACGTTTTCGGGTGCTTTACAGCACCCATGGTCACGGGGGGACTGAGGTGTTTGACGTCCCGATGTCATAGCCCGGCTACCTTCAGTTTTTAATATTAATTTTGTTTTTTATATTATTATTTTTTTTAATTTTTGGTCCGATCTAATGAAATGAAATTCATTCTGCGTAAACCAAAAATTAATATTAAAAACGGAAGGTAGCCGGGCTAACTATGACATCGGAACGTCAAAAACCTAAATCCGCCCCGCTCGAAACGTCGGAAATTAATAAGTTAAACGCGTTAAAATCCAAAAAATTAGTTTCATTTAATGTGTAGTGTTAATTTGTGTGTTTATGAGTTTTGTAGTAAGTGTAATGGTCGCCACACACGGTCAGTTCAATCATTCCAACTGATCAGATCAAACTAAAACTGTTGATATTCTTTAAAATATTGGATTTTAGATATATCGATAAATAAAGTTATATATAAAACTCCGATATTGATATATTTATAATAATCGATATATCGATAATTCAATATTTTAAAAAATATCAACGGCTTTGTTTTGAACCGATCAGTTGGAATGATCAGATGAACTGACCGTGTGTGGCCTCCATAAGGCGAGTGTGTTTTTATAGTAAGGCTGACAACGACATCATGCGGAAAGTGAGAAAGGGAATCGCATTTTTGACGTTCCCTTATTTTTTGTCACTCAGACTTTATTCCGCGTAATTGTAATGATGAGTCAGCGGCTATATAACTTTTTTGTTATTTTCTAAGGCAACCCTTACGATAGCCACGGAATATGTCGGAATTGGGTTAATTAGATTGGAATATTAGAAGCTACCCCCACTCAGCACACTATTTCCAAGCATTAAGTTTAGATACAGAAAAGTAGCGTTATTATAGGTACTACCAGCGTAATGTATTTCTACAGATGTGATTGTATTGTTTTCTATTAAAATAACGAGACTAATTTAACGTGTGTTATGTAAATAAAAATAAACAGGGATTACGATGAGACCAAGAGCGTATCGACAAGGTATTGAACAGGTCTGAAGTATCTACACTTGACTGCAAGGACACAAGCAACGCACAGTGGTGACATGTATTTTCATAGTACATATCACACAATGAGGTAGGATTATCACGATTTGTAAATAAGAAAAATTATTTTATATATTATATTATTTTTTAATTAAATATTTCTTTAGTTCTATATTTTGTATGTTACGTCAATGAATACTTGAAATAACAACTTAATTGCAGGTGATTATCCTCCATATAACACACATGCTGACAATCTAATGAACTTTCCCAAGATATCTCTGGTTCTTCCTCGATTGCAAACTTATACTATGTAAAATGAAATTAATGTTGAATTACTTTTCAATATTATAACTTCATTTGTTACATTAATTTTAATATTTATACTTACACAAATGGTTTTGTTATAATAAATTTCAAGAAAACAATTCGCTTAGCTTTGATTTTGAAGATGAGTAAAAATGGCTTATTCTCGGAATTTGTTTCCCTTTCAGGTAATAAGCAATACGAGGAGTAATTTTTAATGATAGCCGGTAGTATTTTTTTTGCTTTTGTTTTTTAATTTGTACTTATTGTAGAAATTTATTACAATATCGTACACATCATCCTTGGCCTAATGAATGATTGCCGAATTATACGATATATAACAAAACTTGTTTCTTGATTAAAACTACTTTTACGGATTTTATCGCGTTTTATTTTTTAATACCCGACGTATCGGGTGCTTTCCAGCACCCATGGTCACGGGTGGTCACGGGGAACTGAGGTGACGGTTAAAGTTAAACTATAGACATCCTGTACTTGCGCACGGTGGTGGGAGGGGGAGGGGAGAGAGGGAGGGTTCAGAACAGACCTCCTCTACCCTTCCCCCTTTGCGGAAATGTATAGTTTATGAGTTTTTTTTTGTAAACACTTTTCTCACTCTCACTTTTTTCACAGGAATATTGACACAAACAGGGTTATTTCTGTAACAGCTTCGGCGCTGCGGAAAGTGCAGCCCCTTTGCCCTTGCGTAGCAAATTGCAGGTACCCGTGTGAGCCCTGCTGAGGCTGAGGCTGGTCGCCAAAGGCGACCAATAAGCCGAAGCTGCGGAGGTGAGCATGGATATGAAGTTATGAATTAGAATATGAGTTTGTGATCATATCCATGACGGCCCCAACCATTAAAATAGATTTGATAGACCACAAATCCTCGCGAAAGAACATCGATTCCTACCAAGGGTGATACGTGAGGCTATTGAAATTAAAAAACATCCTAATTTCAATAAAACCAAGCATACCATTGCAAGACTGCAAAACACAATAATTTAATTCTGCGTAGATCGGACCAAAGACAATAATTAAAAAGCTGAAGGTACTCCGGGGTTCGGGACGTCAATCATTTCAGTCTACCGTGACCATTGGTGCTGGAAAGCACCCAAAAAGTCGGGTATTAAAATAAAATAAATAAAGCGCGATAAAATTCGTAAAAGTAGTTTTAATCAATGTGTAGTGTTCACGTAAATATAAGAAATCATTATAAAAACTTGTTTAATCAAATGTCAACATTTTCTAGTATATATTTCATGTATTTATTTTATTACTGTTACGTTTTTAGTTTTAATTTTTACGAGGGTGGATTGAAAAGTACTCGGCCTAACACAGATCCATTCAATTCTAAAAATGAAATCTACCCACATTATTTAGTTCAGTTTAGACTAGTTCATTGTGTGAAGTTCGAAACGTGTACGATAATTAGTTGTGATTTTATAAATTTATTAACAAAGTAATCGGACATAATTTCCGCGAATGGAGCAAATCGAGCAGCGTGCCGTCATTAAGTACCTCCATAAGAAGGGGCTATCATCAAAAGCCATTCATGATGACATGGTCAGTACATTAGGCGATTGTGCTCTGTCATATTCATCCGTCAAAAAATGGATAGCAGAATTTAAGCGTGGTAGAGAGCGTAACGTTCTGGAAGGCCTTCGACGTCAACTACTGACGAAAATATTAAAAAAGTACTTGATTTAATAATGGGAGACCGCAGATTAAAAATTAGAGAGATAGCTGAGATTATAGGCATCTCTTATGAACGAACTCAAAACATCATTGTCAACGAGTTGGGTTTCCACAAGGTGTCCGCGAGGTGGGTTCCGCGACTGCTTTCAGTTGAACAAAAAAGGACGCGATTGACTATTTCACGCGACTCTTTGGAGTTATTTGAAGCCGATGCAGATGATTTTTTGAATCGTTTTGTTACTACGGACGAAACATGGGTTCATTAATGTACACCGGAAACAAAACAACAATCAAAACAGTGGAGAAGACCTGGTTCACCACCCCCTAAAAAAGGCTAAGTCGATTTTGTCGGCAAATAAGGTGATGGCTTCAGTATTCTGGGACTCGAAAGGTGTGATTATGATTGATTATCTTGAAAGGGGTTAGACTATAAACTCTGATTACTACTGCACCTTACTACGTCGTTTATGAGGGGAAATAAAAGAAAAACGTCAAAGAATGCTCAGAAGAAAAGTCCTGTTTCATCAAGATAACGCCCGTGTTCACACGTCAGTACAGTCAATGGCTGAAATTCACAACTGTGGCTTTGAACTGTTACCGCATCCGCCGTATTCACCTGATCTGGCACCATCAGACTTCTTTCTGTTCCCTAACCTAAAAAAGCACTTGGGAGGTCAAAGATTTTCGACAAACGACAAGGTCAAAGCAGCTGTAGACGCATATTTTGACTCTAAGGAAGAATCATTTTTTTTCAACGGTCTAAATGCTTGGAAGGGGAGGTGGCAAAAGTGTATTGAACTTGATGGTGATTATGTAGAAAAATAAAAATATAACTGATTTAGTATGTGTTTATTTTCTTGGTTAGGCCGAGTACTTTTCAATCCACCCTCGTAGTTAACACATTTAGAGTTAACACAACACACATATTTGTATGTTTCTTTGTTAAGAAGATTTACCATGGAAAAGTGTAAGGAACCAGAGTAAACAGTAGTTACAACGGCTAGCAAGAACCTCAACTTAATACACACAAGTAATGCATGCGACATCTAAGCTGCGACACACACATACACACGCATACACACAACTTACCGGGAGCGTGTATGGCTATTTGGTTCGTGAGTTTGGTTTTCAACAACTTGAGTATATCGGCAACATTGCGTTTCACCCAGTCAATAAACCTAGATATTCTGTTGAAGGCCTCTGCGATTTTGTTGGTGTCCTGATCAGCTGTAGGTGTGGACAGACTTGACGAACCGAAGTTTGAGAGTAACAGAGCCAAGAAAAGGTTGAGTACCTGTAAAATTGTTTAATTTTCTCGATGTATATTTTATAAAAAACTAGAACACGAAAATATTTTATTTGCTTAAAAAATATGTTTTGATACAACTTTTGCTTCTTAAAGATGAAAGCGATTTCTAACATTTATTCTTTAAAGTAATGATATTACTAAATTTTATTTGGTTTCCAAATTTGATAACACTTTAATTCATAAGAATAGGAAATTTTCTCATAATTCACTATAAAAATTGTTTTTGCGTTTTTACAGGACCATTTTGAAATTACCACATTGCATATTACCAATAGATGGATATGGTGTTAAAGTAACACGTGGTAACACCAAAAAATAGTCTCATTGATGTCGTTGATAAGCTCAAGGTTTAAAAATATAAAAACGAGAAGACATTTGGTCCTTCGAGCCATGTAAAAAAGTACAAAACGATATCCAGACCAAAGCTTTATATTGATGTTAAGTTAGTCTTAATCCCCTAAATCGTGACAAACTTATAGTCAAGTAGTCATTCTAATACGGGATCGTCCATTAATCACGCGAGAACGGGGGGTGGAGGAAAATCACGAAACATCAGAAGGAGGTATATTTGAGTTGAACGCGTCATTTTTAAATTGAAAAGCGGCGCGTGATGTTAACTCGCCGTTGCCAGGCAACGATTTCCCCGCCTGAATTCCTCCTTACCCGATTTATCAGTCGTCCAGTGGCCTATATATTTCGAAGCCTCAAGGGCATGATGGCAAACCGTTTACCTCATTTCTTGTCACAAGCAACCTAATAATCCGAGCAATAATAGACCAGAGATGCACAATGTTCGTCTTTCACGGATCCTCACGCGATGATCGATGGGTAGATCAAGAGAGATTCTCTGCGTAGTGCGCGAAAATGATGACGCCAAGTGGCTTGATGGCTTTGATCTTCAACAAAACACAGTGCCAACAGTTGACTTGCAAGATGCTTATCCACTTGTTAGTGTTGAAGAAAGTCTCACTAATCGAAAGACAATGTCTGTTAAATATATTCATGTACCAGTACACAATTATATTTTTTTCACAACATGGCTACGCCTTTATTATTTTTAAAAAAGTCAAAAACAACCTGCAATCTTAATGTCTATCTGGAAATTTTATCACGGTCCTTAATTTTTCAGAATTTAATTAGATTATACCCGTATTTACAAACAATATTCTGAAAGTTTTTAAGACATACCAAAAAAATACATGTGATTTTTGGTAAAGGAGGAGAGTTAGTCTAAAACCTCACCATGCATTACCAGTGGTAAAAAGATATTAAAAACATGACGTGATTAATGGATGACCCTTAAACTCTCTGTAACTTAAAACCGTTATTTACATTAAAATCTGATTTTATATTATTATTTTTAATCATTATCAACAACTAATATTGCACTAGTATTGTGCAGACTTTTTGTTTCGTACAGTAAATCGAATACTTAATTGATTCAATGTTTTATTTCACGGGTACGTTATAACACAGAATTGACAATTTACGTATTATACTAACCACAAGATTGCCGATAACAACTGTCGCCAAAAAGAAGGGAATGCACGACACGTCGCCCACCAGCATACAGTCCCACATGCTCTCAATCCATTCTCCGCATAGCACTCGGAACACAATCATGAAACTATGCATAAAGTCCGTAAAATTCCATCTGGGGAGGTCACCGTCGGGGAAACGGTCCACATAATCTGCGTAGAAATTATTTTTATATAGCTAAGGGTGATTTTAGAATTTAATACAAAATTTGGATTCAATTTTGAACAGTTAATTGGTTAAGCATTTTGCTCAAGACTGCTTTTGAAATATTTAATTGACTAAGCTGTGACGTTATAGTCAAAATTTGCAGCGAGAATAAGTAGGTATTGTGGTCGTTTGTTCACTTGGTAGAGAGCATAGGTAACGCAACTGAGGTAAAATTTTTAACCAGACCCAAAATAAATTACGAGTACCATCAAATACTTCATTTGAAATTTTACGCATTTAGTTTTTATTAATAAATTAGTATCTAGTACTGTAGTTATATTAATCGATAACTTTGAAAAATACAATATTCTATTTTTCAATAAGTTATCGATTAAATGATATCTATAGCAAACATACGACATTTTAGTCTTATTTATAAAAATAATTTCTTAGAAAGCAATATGCGACATATGTACCATACGAGTATATTATCTTCATAATGTTATTAATATTACGATAATTACATTATAAGCGTTTGTATTTTAATTAAATCCAAATTGGATTCATTAAATCATTTCAGTCATGCTAGCAGTAGATCCAGATGCTGCAGTTTTGAAATATTCGTAAGATAATATGTATGAATTTTATCAACTAATTATTAAATAAATGTAACCTATTAAGTTGATCGATCAAAGTGTCTTTACGACAACTGAAAATATTAGCAGCGCCTGTATCTTAGGCTACCATGTAATATATAATAAATATTTACAGTACATTGTCTTATTCACATTAAAAGCATAATTATCAGTATAAAAAATTATAGATTTTTATATAAGCAATTATATAGCAGGAATTTCGTTACAGAGGCAATGTTTATATTGAATGTTGTTAAACTAGTCGAAATGAATGTTACGAAAGTTAAGTGGCGTTTTTGCGCCCACCGAACGTTTGAGTTGGAATAACAATAATAACTACGTGCTTTAATTTACGATTAGGGAAATTACCTCTTTCTGTTTACATTTCCTTCATTTTATTTTTTAACATTATAGTAGAAATCAAGTTCTTGAGAAGAATTAAAAATATATAAATAAATCATCCGTACGATATCCCTGCTTTATTATATACATATTCAAGAATTCTTTCATGCGTAAATTTTAAAAGTAAATTATTTAGATATAAAGTACCTTACATAAGACAACATGCATACGTATTAAGGCAATACACCTACGTCACATCACATCTCTACAAGATTCTTAAGCGCTTAAAGAACAAAAGGGAAGTGATAAACAAAAGGTACACGACAATGGTTTGTGCTACAAAGTAAAAGTAAGATGAAAGAAGCGATAATTAGCGTTATCGTTTCACAAGTGAGGCGCCTTTCACGGGGCATAGAAACCGGTAATACAATTTATGTACAGAAGACATGTAATAGAGTGAAGGCTCACTTGGAAGGGTCACATTGATTCTTGCCAATCTTCTAACAGGAAACTGAGCATTACAGTGTGACGCACATCAACAATTACTAATTTAACATAGCGGTGGCCCCGCTTAAAGTGTGGAATGAAACGGTCAATCGAAAAATTTGTTTTCTGTAGGTTCCGAAACTGTATCCACACTTTATGTATATTCAGTGAATGTATTTCATAATCAGTGAATATCGAACAATTAAAATTAAAAAATCACGCGATTGCTTTTGTTATATCGGAAACGTTGTAACACAAAAAGCCTACACTATGAAGTACATTCACCGGCAGTCCGTGGGGCCCTCACCACCAACACCAACGAACATGCAACATCCCACCAATGCCACTTACCCACGTAATTTTTCCCGAACAGTTGCATACCCATCACCGCGAATATGAAAATAATGATGCACAATACGAAGGTCAGGTTGCCCAAGGCACCCATCGTCCTACCCATTATCGAGATGAGTAAATTAAGTGTCGGCCACGACTTTGCCAATTTGAATACTCGAAGCTGCAATTACAAATTGTGATACAAGGCGTCACACAAGCTCGCTCACCGGCGCTTCACCTATGCTACTGCTATCATCCGGAGACCCCGAATCACTCACGTTTTCAGTTGATTGCGATCGTTCGACCCTGGCGGTGAGGTAGGTAAGTGATTCTGAATCGAATAAAAATATGCAAATGTGTGCTGGAGGTAACCTATTGAAGTGTGCATTGGTTAGTATTATGACTGGGATTTATGTTCCGTCGTCCTTTGATTGACATTATACATTTTTTTTTAATTTTAGTTGAATCGAATTGACATAGATCCCATCAGCGGACGACCTGATCAAAATATCCTCGGTAAGCAAAGCTGCATGTCAAATCTAAAATACTGTATGCAAAGCTCAACTCATGATCTCAAGCTGCGTGGTATAGCTTTATAACGTGTCTCCTCTCGGGCCCATTCGCATGATGGAGCCACTTCAAGTTTATTATAAAGCCACAGCGCCAGCCTCTCGCTTCATGAATAATGGTTAACCAAAGCCCTGTGTAAATTATTAGGGAGTGTGAAGCTTAATAATCGATAATGAAGCTGAGGTCTTTAATTAGAGATGCTAAATTTTCTTTCATATTGAACCTGTATAGTTCTTCCCAAACAACTGCATTCCCATCACCGCGAATATGAATATAATGATGCAAAGTACAAAGGTCAAATTCCCTAAAGCGCCCACCGTCCTACCCATTATGGATATTATAAGGTTTAGCGCCGGCCAAGACTTAGCCAGTTTAAATACACGCAGCTGAAAATATATTATTGCATACATTTACATATATTCATTAACTGGAAGTCCATTCATTATGCTAAACTTAAGCTATAATCTGTCAATTGTTTCTTCCATCTTAACTGCATATAAAAAACTAAATAATAACTGCTGGAAATAAATTTATTATTAATGTTCGTTTTGCTTAGTTGTAGTAAAAAGTTAGAACAAGTTTGAAAAAGAAGGTTATTTTTTGGTTATTATTTATAGATATCATGAAATTAAATTCACCTTACTTGAAGATGAATTTTATTATCTTACTCTTTTGTCAACAGTGGCGTAGTGTGGTTTAATGCCATCCAGGGTTGTTAGAGCAAAAAATGCTACTCAGTATTTTTGTATACATTAAAAATATAAAATCGGTAAAAGTTTTCCAAAGTTTTTGTATATTATTTAAAATTTATTTTTACAATATATATTATGTAATTTTATACCCAATGACAACTCTTGGCAAGTGTGTGGGTTAGTGTAAGTTGAGATTTTACTGGCAACATTTAAAATGTTAAGGCGGGTATCTGACTTTTCTTTCCAAAAATGCCGCCACTGCTTATAAATATAACTAACAAGATCTGTTGATACAACTTTAAAATAAGTTTTAAGATTTTAGTAAAGTTGCAAGACTTACCAAACGAAACGACCGTAACACAGACAAACCCTGAACGCCTTCTAAACCCAACTCCAGTAGTGATAAGGCAACGATGATAAAGTCGAAAATATTCCATCCCTCTTGAAAATAATATTTTGGACTCATGGCTATAAGTTTTAGCATGGCTTCTATTCCGAATGTTGCGGTAAAAAACTGAAAAGAAAAATGTATGTAAGTTCGATAAGAAAAAGAAAGAAACTAAGAAATCAAAAATGTTTCTAGGAAATGTATTTCGCCCCCACCTCGCCACCCACCACTAGGGCGCACCGGACTCTCTCTTGCTCTCCCTAAATAGACTGGTTTTTAACTTTATTTTTATATTATCATCATCATTATCATTATTCTCATCATTACAACCTTCCACAAGCCCACAGCTGAACCTATGCTCAGCCTTCCCCAAGAAATGCCACAAAGCACGTAAATATTTTACGTAAAATTATTAGAACAAGCTCTTTGTTTAAATAGGTAATGTAGCCGTGAAATGAAAATAATTATAGCCAGCGTAATATTGCCCATATGGCGTGCTTAATATAAATTGTGGCTCTATTACACCTTATTGATTTTGTTTTTAACTTATTGGGTCGGCCAAAGATATACGCTAGAGCCATGGAGCTTTCACAAAGGAAGTACTACAACACAAGCTTTGTTTTTGGCAAAATTAGCTAACAATTAGTAGCAAAGTTTAAAAAAATTAATTATTAGTATATTATATACTACTAAAGTTATTTCCAATTAGTATTGTAAGTGATCAATTTAAGGAACTGATTTAGTAAAATTTTGAATGACTTTTAATGGAACTTAATTTTTTGCGGAAAGTATTTTACAACTGTCGGGTACGTTTATTAAAAGGATTTTATTTTCATTGAAATAAATCATTGTAGTAATTTTTAGTCCTTCACACCTTTTAAACTAGCTTTGCATAAATAGGGTACGAAATACCTCATATAACTATTAGTTAACTTAAATTTTGTTGGTACTTACGTAATTGCCACTCTTTAGTGCCTTATCCATATCTTTGTCCATATTGTGATGGTCCAGAGCCATGAATAACGTGTTGACGACGATGCACAGTGTGATGAACAGTTCGACGAAAGGGTCGAACACCAGTAGCGCGACGTATTTCTGAAACTCCAGCCACAACCAGCAGCAGTCCCACACACAGAAGAAGTCTATTCCTTTCATTAAATATTCGAGGAGTCTTTCCTTAAGAGTGGGTCCGTCCTCATCGTCTTCCGCTGTTGGGAAGTAGTACACTGACACTGTGGTTGCGTCCCGTTTACCGTACGTGTGTGTGTTGAGGGGGGAAGACAGAAATAAATTTGTTAGTATTCGCTCATTATTTCTATGACTATTGGACCGAGATAAAGTTCACATAATTCATTGGCTGAATATAGCCCTTTAGTTAAAAAAAAAAAACTACAAGTTCTATTTTTTTCTTTGTTATCTATATTATTTTTTCTTTATTATAATTACTTCGGTGCCAATAGTATTTATCATAACAATTCCATAGAGTTCAATATTCATATTTTTGTTTCACTGTAGGCTGTCATTTACATCACTAGATTTGGAGAAGTGAGGGCATAAACATTTATTACAAAATATAGAGGAATTCGTCAGTTTATATTACAATGATATACATACTATGTTTTACTGATGGAGTGCAAAATAAGTTAAGAATCGAATGTTCAGAAATTAACTGCAATTTTGTTGGCTTCAATCTGCAGCAAAGCATCTTCTACTTGAAGTATACTATGTATATATATATATATCTACTATGCACGTTACCATACTTAAGTGATTTCATTTATTTCAAATAGCCAAAAATATGAATATCGTAATTTTCAATACGTGAAGAAGTCCTTACCTTGGTGTTAACAACTTAATTTTATTATGGTAAAGAATGTCCACAGCTTAAACTCGCAATAGCTTCGCGTAAAACCTTAAGAGCTAATTTTAATAGTGCAATAAAAGCTATTGAAATAATAGGATTCAATTAATTAAACTGCCATGCCATCTACTAGTATACAATTTATGTAAAATATTAAATAAACCTTAAATTGCAAACGCATTTTCACAGTTTTTAAATATAAAATATAATTAAAATAATAGTGCTTAAACTCGTGCTTGCTACAAATAAGTTAAGTTCGTTTTTAATTAACAAGTAATTTTAGCATTCATAGTCGTCAATTTTAATTGACCCGTATTAAGTTAAAAATAGACGAGCCAATATAGGAATATAAAGCATCACTAATTTTACATAAAAGTATCTACACGTATCTTTTGCACAAATAACGCTATCGAAAGTTAAAAACAATCAAATATAAGATAAAGCACTTAAAAAAAGAAAAGCTAAGAAAATGCAAAAGCTAACATAAGCGTGATTAAATACAAACGTCAATGTTTTTGTTAAGATACATTTATTCTTCACAAATCTATTTGGTCAATTTTTATAACAGTTGATACTTTTACACATGAATTATAATTTAATGTAATCTACTTTGGGGGTGAAATTTGAAAAAAAAACTGTGAGAAGAATAATTTTAGAGGAACTAGGTATGTGTAAATATTTTATATCGTTACGTGAAAGTGATGAAAATGATAATAAATGACACCTACGTCTGACCATTTTTATAATTTTGCCAATTATGCTTTTTGGATGCATAATGAGCAAATACCTGTTTTCCTTTGTGTTTTTGTGGATGTATGCTTGTTAAATGTGGGAGTATTTATTGCGTGTGTTGGATGTAAAAAAAGAACAAATATTAAGTTCAAAAAGCGAACACGCAGCTGTAAAGTTTTATAAACATTTATAAAATGATTAACAGTAAAACAAAAAGGTACGCAACAAGACAACAACGACATCACATTAACATCAGCAGTAGGAATTAGAGGCAAAGCCTTGGAACACAGAAATAATTTTTTATTTTGTCATCTTTCGTACCGTTCTGTTCGCTCGCCCGACTTTGTCTGCCAGCTTGTTCAATGATTTCATTTAAAACCATAACATCTGAAAAAGAAAAATCATCATCAACTGACTTAATTAATTATCTTTAATGTTAATACAATTTGTAGTTTACAATTTGATTTTGTTTTTATTGATTTTTAATTAGATTGAATTTACAATTTGATTTATACGTGGTATAGCCACGCTGCAGCCATATTTTGGTTGTAGCACGAATGGGTCGGCTCGACCGGGGAAAGACCACGCTCTCACAGAATGCAAGCGTAAAATAGCAGCTTAATACTGCTGTGTTTCATTTCAGGTACATCAGTTTGCATTTTTGGTAGACTTCATTAGTTTTATAATGTCATAAACTAAAGTACAATAAAAAGGGTACGGAAGTTTAGATTTTATGATACTTACCCGTAATGCGCGAAATTTACAGTTTTAATGAGAAGATCTCTACTACATATTTAAAAGTCATTTTGTTTTTATATCTTTACATTTTTATACATTTAAAATTCCACATCATGCTAAAAAAATAAGTGAACAAATAACTATTGTTAAAAAGGAAATAATATTTGAGTAATAAGTTAAGGACCTATAATTTTCGCCCTGTTCAATCTCAATGTTATCAAACATTCCTAAGTATATTACAAAACTTCACAATATGCACGAAGGAAATTATGATGAGGAATCAATAAAATCACTTTTTTATAAGAGTTGATGTATAATTTTTTATTACATCTTTAGAAATATTTTAAATAAAAAGTTAAAAATGCTAAGTTACGGCCTATATCTTACACCCTTCCCCTCGTTTTTGAGGGGTTCATAAGTAACATAATGAAAATGATGTTTTACCTCTCATATCTACAACGTTTGGCTGTTGTGAAGATTCTATGAATGGATTGTCATTAGAAGGTTTCAAAACTTTTCCAGCTTCGTCCGTGGTCTCTGTTGCACACATTTCCTAAAAATTGTTAACAGCGTATTGTAATTGTTGTGTGTTTCATCCGTACTGATTTTAGTTTTTTAACTAGCCATTGATACCTCAGACCAACAAAAGGATAGATGGAGCGCTCAACTTATGCTATAAAGACGGACTCACGCAAACAAACGAATTGCGCCCTCCTTTATGCCAAGGAGGGTCGCGTTCGTATACGGCTTAGAGATCTCTAGTCAGATCGTTAAGCCAATTCCTAAAAGGCGGTGTTTAGTGGGTAAAAGTCTCCACATAAGCACGCAGCCGGCTGCGTGGTATGCTATGAGCATTCACCGCCTACCTCCCCCGCTTTCCGGAGGGTTGCCCATATTTGCTTCGGGCGCAAAAAAAAAACAAACGAATCTATATAGTTTGAAGTCAACAACATAATTTTATATTTAACATGGTAGGACCACACTGCAACTATATTAAGGTTGTATCACGAAGGGATGGGTTCGAGCAATAACTATGCTCTCACAGTATATCAGCGCAAAATAATGTTACTGTGTTTCGTATGGTGTTGAGAGAACCGGAGACCCTGAACTGGAATCGAGACATTACATCTTATGTAGATCTTAGGGGTGACAATGTATCTGCAATTTGATTCTTAAATGAAGATAGATGTAGATGTCTACAGGTCACAACATCCATCTACTATCAGGTGAGAAAGAAGAAAGATGTGTGCGTGAGTGCGTATCATGAAGTTGATTATGCTTTCGGCGTCACTTGAAACAAGTGCTCCGTTTATATTATCTGTTGGTTTAAAACTGAAACATGAAATATTTGGAAATAATTAAATAATTCTATTTATGTAATATATAAACCTGAACATACATATTCTCTTACTGGCCGTGATGCAATTGATGAATCTGGTCTTGGCAAAGCGTAGGCATGTGGCTGCGAAGTTACACTGTGGTTTCTTGAGGCGGAGCGACCTCTTAACTTAGCTTCTTTTGTCTGGGCCTTGCCTCCTAAGAGGTCACCGTGGGATGTATATGATAGTCTCGACTGATGCGATGTATACGATGAATGTCGCGAACCTAAAAATTACAGATTTGAAAAAGTTAATGTAGAAAATATTTAATATATTCCACCCCATATACCTATAACAATCACTAAAGCTATGTATGCCGTAGCTGGTATGCCGGATTGTTTACAAGCCTTTATAGACTTCTTATAACTAATAACGTTTTATAGACATAAGCCATTTCCGTAAATGGTAAGGGATTCGGAAAATACAATAGATTGTTCTTATTGTTTCGTGAGCCTTAACACAAAAAAATGCAGTGTCGTAAATAAAAAAAATTATTTAATTGCTTAAAACAATCCTCCGTAAAAATTTTCTCGTCATTAAAATTCATTAAAATAATCCTTTGTTATAATTATAGGTATTTCTTTAAAAAAAACTATCTCTCATTTTAATACATATGACGGCGCCTGCACCGTTGCAAATGCGGCAGCGCCTCTGTAGTGCTTCTGTAGCTAGCCAGATTTCATGTAAACAACACGTGCACCACACATCTGCGCGTAGCATTTACAGTGGCACCTGTGTAGGTTTACTAGTTTCGCTTGTACAAAACGGACGAAGAGGCCGCCGTTAAGGGGAAATATAACCTCAAATGGCTTAGCAAGATCCTCCGTTATGCCGAAAATGTATGTCCTGAAGCTTGGAACCCGGCGGCAGGAAACAAGCTTCAGTACGCCGATAGTTTAGGTAATTTCTTTTTACAGTGAAAATAATGGTAATTTAAAAAAAAAAACATAAGCCCTGCGTTGGTTTGGAGGTAAATTTGTTTTTTTTTCTATCGAGAAAATTTTACCGAATCATGTTTTCGTATAACATAGTACTTAACATGAATCCTCAACTTTACCATATATTTATTTCAACATTAATGATGCAATATTTTCGGCATAACGGAGGATCTTGCTAAGCCATTTGAGGTTATATTTCCCCTTAAGGGTTAAGGCAGTCTTGGCGACATGAGTAGATAAACTGGCATGGCGCGGTGCACTTGCTCTATTCCGCTACTAGTTCATCGTCGACTCTTCGGATAATTAATTCGTGGAAACTTTAATGTGGAAATTATTATTCTTAGCTGTTAAATTAGTCACAGTACAATTATTTATTTAATAACTGTAAAAAGTAATACATATAATGTAAATTAATTCTATTTGAAAGAAATGTCCCGCCGGGTTTCTTGCTGGTTCTTCCCAAGACAGAAGTTTTCTCCGAACCAGTGGTCGTAGTACTATAGTGAATAAAAAGTGATGATTCTATGCTATTCTGAAAGTCTTTCTCTTGTGACTCTACATGTTCACATATCCTACATCAGAAGTGGGATTAAAGCTTTCCATAATAAAATTACATTATAATCACTTCCTACATACAAACACACACACACACACACATAATATATATATATACAGGATGTTAGTGTAAACACCGTTGTCCTTGAAACCAGTGGTTTGGTTTCACTTATAGAACGTAAATTCAATGAAAAATAACAACATTTTTTTTTTTAGTAAAATCTCAACTTTTCCTTAATTCCTCATTTTTTGTCTGTCCTATGCCAGGATGAAAGTATGAAGGAAAAGTTACATCACAGGTTATATGTACCTATTGTGTTTTTATTGGAATTTTCTGTAGGTAGCTAGTGCGGGCGGTGATCTTCACAGTGATTACGTCACTCGGGCGCATAGGGTATCCATGAATTTACGGACGGTGTCGGACAGAAACTTTTTAAATTTTATGGAAGAAAATAGGGTCTTTTTTTTAAATTCATTGAATTTACGTTCTATAAGTGAAACCAAACCACTGGTTCAAGGACAATGGTGTATACACTAACACCCTGTATATACAGAATGGGTCCCACATATATGCAATAAATGAAACCACAAGTAATACTAGTCCGTAGAAGTGTAGAAAAATTAAATATTAAATTAAAACCCGTAAAATAAAAAAGTGAAATTTTCAAACAAAATAAATATTAAAATAAATTCAGTAAAAGTGAACACTCTGTTTAGACAACGTACCTTGACCCCTTGGAAGAGTGACAACGTTGCACGCGGGTGGCACGCCGACAAAAGACACCGCTGTCGATATGTCGCAATACCAATAGTTTGCACTGCGTGGCAACGTCGCTTTTTAATGTTCAAGGATTCAAGTTCATTGAATCATTGACTTAGTGACCCAATTCTATAGAGTGTTCAAATTTGCTTAAAATTAAAACTCTACTTTTTGACCTAATTACTGGACCGATTACGTTCATTTTTTGTATATCGTCAGCAAAGGCGATAACAAGTATATGGTTTCATTTATTGCATATATGTGGGACCCATTCTGTATATATATAGAGACGTTACGTCTCGCTCAGTAGACTGGAAAGACGTCATCATATTATAAGAAGTAATTGAATATATATCTAGCAACAAATAATCGATATTTTATGTAGGGTTCCGGGTTGAACAGGAATTATAAATTTAAGTAATTTTGTTTTATTTTCTATAATGTTTTAAAATGTATCATTATTTCTTATCTACTAAATCTAATTACTCTTGTGAATACGTACCCAAGTTTGCGTAATAAACCGGTATGATAATGGCTCCATTTTCTTCGGACATTGGTGTTACAGCAGTTGAGTCGTCGGCATATGGGAGATGTTCTTGTGCATCCAGATACGTTGACAGTACAAGAGGCTTTCGATCAGCGCCAGGTGGGTATCGAGATCTTCCATTTGGCCTCAATGCCATCTGGTGCGAACCGCGTGAACCTCGGCGCAAATTGAACGGCGAACCAGGCAGTGATAATGAAGCCTGCCGTCACATTCAAATTTTAGAATATACACTCTTGCGATCCAATTGCTTTATATTTCTCATTACATGTATTAAAGTCGTTTCAATTTATTCGATAAAATATATTTGACAATTCTTTTTTTTACTCATATTATCTATTTTGAGATATTATCATTTTTGAGATTTTTTACTCATAGGTATTACAAATTACTTCTTTCCTCAATTCGGATCGAGTCATGAATGAAATGGAAAACGTACTGGTAAAAGGGAGTAGGTTGCAGAGGCTTTACCTATATTTAATGAGATAGACATTAACAAGATTCTTAAAAACGGTGTTGTTATACTTTCATGTGCTAATAAACAATTACAAATAAAGTAGCTAGCAAGAAAAGAGTAGTTCAAAGTAAAGATACAAAATAAGTTTGTCTTATTGCATCAATGCACGATGATAGCGTGTAATTAAAATGTGAACATTAAAAACATAACTATTTAATTTTAATTCATGTATTGCTGCAACTGGACAGTTACAAAACTTTTGTAAAGGACTAAGAAGATTAAGAGAGAAAGTAAACATAATGATCAATCCCTATAAAAAAGGAAGAGGAAGGGGTACACAAACACCAATGAGGATTGTAGGACAAACCTGTGAGCCCTCCCGCAGTGGCCCATATGATAACTGCCCGTATTTATTAATGCGTTCAGGGTGGGGGACCTTTAATACACAAAAAAATGATTTTATAGTAATTTCCCTTCTATATAACATATATCGATAAAATAGACATCAAGTAACCAGGAAAAAGGACTGAGAGCACACACAATTAGGAAGAAAGGAAGTGATATTGCAGCTTCAAAGCAAGTTGTGAGAAAAATAAAAGTAGTTGTTTAGCAGCATAGTTCGTATTTTCTACTTAACATCTAAAAATTAGCTCATAACGAAAATTTTGATTACAATAAGAATTTTCTTGAATCTCTTAATGTTATAAATCTTTCATCGCAATTTCTATTATCAAAACCCTTATTGTAATTAGCATGAATAAACCAATACAGAATAAAGCAATGACCATGAATAAAAGCGAAAGTTAGTCAGGTAACTTTGTTTATAAACACATGAAGTAATATTATCAAATTACATGCATCTTTGTATACTGCTAACTGTTATTTTAATCCGTAATAAGTATTCAAATTATTATATGATACATCTATGGTCATGGTGACTGTTCTTTTGTTCTTTAAATTACGAAGCCTCCGCACATCACTCATCGAAATTGAGGAATTAATGACCGTTATCAAGTTATTTTATTGACCGCTACGGTAAATGTTGAATGTTGACCGAACCTACCTCGTCATCGTTGCTATGTTCAGTTTCAGCTTGGCCCGTTCTTGGACATTCACGTTATGAAAGAAACAATCTAACATGACAATAGACTCTCATAGTCTCCAATAGTATTTGATCATATTATATGAATTTATTGTTTGTTGATTTGTCACTTTCTAGAATTATTAGACTTACATTCGAGACATTACATCATTAAACGTTTTGGTTTTAGTAACTTAAGGTGTAGATAAGAGCAATACTATTGAAGACTGAGGTACTCTAAATAAACGTTTCAAAATATGATACTACCAAAATCATTTAAAATGAACAGTCATGCGGTACTAAAATATTTTTGCAATCGGCGAAAAGCAGTGATAAGAAATTGTCATTCTCTTATCAATAGTTAAATTAGAAATAAGTAAAGGTGGTGGAAGTATAACGGTAGAAGAGATGTTAAAAAATGGGAATTAAAATTTTCGTTTACAAGCAAGCAGTAGTAACAAACGATATTAGTAAATTAAATAACGCGAATTGAAACGAAAGTTACAGGCATGATGACTTTAACATAACAAATTTTAGATGAGAAAAAGTTTGATCTATATCTAAAAAACTCCACGCATGCCTCGAAGCTGCAGTTGATAGAAATCGAAATGATGGATAAAATAAAACGTTGTATATTGGTAAAAGATACGGTTGTGCAAATATTCAGATATTGTGCCCTATAAGTAAAATAAATTTATTTTTAATGGCACTGTGGATTGGAATGCAATTTAATATCCTCAAGTTTTGCCAAATTTAGATAAAATTAACAATTTTATCTGTATATTTGCTGTTCAAAGGAAATAGTTAATTGAACAACTTGGTGATAAATGGAAAGCTCTCAGCGACTGACATTGATTACCCAGGTTTCTTTTCAACTTGAACTAAAGTGAGCTGTCTTCCGTGGTGCATGGCTTACAGGTATAGTTACTGCTAAACGTTTAAAGTTAAGAAGTCAGCAATTGATTAAAAAAAGTTTCACAGATTACGAATAATTTTTAATGTTTAAAGGTGCCGTAAAGTTTAAAGGAGTTAACAAGTTGAAAAGAGAATGTACAGCTGTCAATGATTCAAACACTTATTATTAAAAAGAGATAGTAATGTTATTTAATTTTCTTTTCTCATTTATTATCTTTTTCTTTTCTTTTTAAATGACACGATATTCTGTTTATTCATTTGCGTTCCTCAGACTAAGCACCGAGATACATGTAAATATAAATCAATAAGCAAAAGAAAAACTTCCCACTTTAGATTTGTTTGGATGTTTAGGCGTTCGTACTTATGTTCGGAAGAGATATTTACTGCATATATTTAGATAATTATGAAAAAGACTTGTCTTAAATAATTTTTATCAACGAATTAAATCTTTAATTTTTATACGCCACTGAATATTACAGTGAATAATTGTAAGAACAGTTTAAGAATAGCTATTTCCTAAGTATCAAAAGAGAAGCGAACTTATACATAATATTGGTAGAATATTGAAAACAAGATTCCAGCTATTATAATTATTGCATTTCATAGCATACTCGAACATGCTGTTTACAAATACGATGCTTAGATTGATGGTCCAGTTAAAGTGGATAGTCCATAGGTTTGAATCATCGTCAGCTTGATAGACGCGTGTGTCGCGGCGCATACTCACCATGCTGACCTTCCTCTGTCGGCGTGCCGGTTCGTGGTGCGTATCGGTGGCGGTGGGCTTGTGCGTGGGCTGAGTGCTCACCGAGTCCTGGAAGGGGTCGCTACGAAGGGACATGCGCTCCCGCGTATTGTCGTCCTGGTTGCCGCGCTCTTGGTTCACGAACAGCTCGTAGCTTTGGCAGGAGAAGTCGCTGGGCGACTTCGCTGGGTGTGCTTCAGCATACGCGGCCGCTTCCGCCGCGGCAGCCTGTTCTCTTGCGTGCGCTTCTCTTGCCTCTTGTTTATCCGCTCTTGCCGCTGCTTTCTGTTCTGCTTCCTTTTAGATAGAATCAGTACATGTTTCTGTTAACTGACCGAAAGCTTTTTAGTAGTCGAAAGAAACATCAAATTAATAGCTTGCGAGCAAGGGATTTTTTACACCGTTAATAATCAAGGTACCGTGTAGTGGTGGTGTAAGACTATCCACTACCCCGTAATGTCCCGTGGGTTTCGTAAGAGGAGATAGAGGGGAACCAACAAGAAAATGGGCAGCAGGGTCTTTCTACTAACGATAAAAAAACGACGGGTTGCACCGTTTTTGATATTACGGAATGGTTATGGAATAATTTTGCACGAATTGCTTTAATTATCAGTATAAAAGTACTATCATTTATGTGGTAGAATACAATATTAAACAGCATTTTTTGCGCTATTGTACACAAACATGACAATTTATATATACAGTCGCGCAAGCGCCCTGCGCTGCCTAAACGAAACAGAGGCGTTCAGACACACATTTTCCGGGCCTGTGGACGGCGAGCAATGGGTAGCTCGCCGTCCGTCCGCGTAACGAACGACAGGCCGTGTCGACGGCGCGTTTTGTTCCACTGCGCGCCTCATAATAGCTGTCAGCAGCGTGAAGGGGCCCGCAAGGGCCGACGCCTGCCGGGGCTGCGGGCTGTTCGAAAGAGGATACCGCGAAATTTTTACTTATGCTCCGGAACGTCAAGGGCACTGAAGGAACACGGATGGTTTTTAGTCAGTATTAATTGTACTGACACTCCCTTACGCTCCACCCAGAGCGAAAGGCGTCATTAGATGACATTTTTCCATCCGCAAAAAAAAAAAAGGCACACATTTTCGCCGCGCCGTAGAAAGAGAGGGGGATACTTCCTGTCCTACTCTCCATCCGTCTTACGAATTTTCGATCAGGTCAATCTCAGGTCAAACTCGCGTCAGGACCACATGTCCTCACGCGAGTTTAACATTTTTTACCCATTACAAAAAAAATTTACAACGCCGCTAAAGAAGTTTTCACTTCAAAAACTGCGGTTGCCAAGCCGTCTGCCGGGCGTGGTTACTATGGCAATCCCCCCTAAGAAGTTAGATTCATAGGGTAGATATTTGGCACTATGGAGAGGGCTATATTCAGCAACGGACTTTTGATAAATTTTACGATATCATTTAGTGCATGCTAACACTCAAGATGGGTTCTCTCTTTTAACTCTAATGGGAAAAATTTGCTGTAATTTCCACGCAGGAATCGCAAACCCAACTTTTTGAGTTTTTGATGCACATACCTTTTTTTTCTATCTATTTTTTTATTTTATTTTATGGAAATAGGGTGACAAATGAGCACACAGTCCATCCGGTGATAAGAGGATGCTGTGGATCATAGACATGTTCATGTGTGTCGATTGAGAATTAAAATGCAGATGCATCCTCTCCCCTGAGGAATAAAATGGTTACCCCCAATCCAGCTGCCAAACGAGCTTTAGAAAGGATATTATTTAATTTAAAGATGTTGAATAGAGAGAATTTTTTATGGGATACGGGTGACAAACGAGCACACAGACCGCCTGATGGTAGGTGATTGCTGCGGCCCATAGACATCTACATCTATCCTCGATTACAAATTAAAATGCAGATGCGTTATCACCCGTAAAGAAAAAAGGTCTCCGGTTGTTTATAATCTCACCATATGAAATACAGCAGCATTAAGCTGCTGTTTTACGCTAGTATTCTGTGAGAGCGTGGACCTTTTCCGTTCGAGCCGACCCATTTATGCCGCAGTATCTAACATATACAGATATTTATAAAACCATCTCTAAGAGGCTGGAAAAAATCCATCACCTATTTGTTTTGTTGAGGGCTGATAAATAACAAGATAATAACATGATAACAGGAATTCTGTCGTTACATTTTCCAGTCCGATCGATCGACGTGTCACTCAACTTTAAGACTACTAGTAAGTAGAAGAGACGGTATAAGCTGAACTATTAGGTTATCTCTACCAAAAAAAAAAATTGTTAAATCAAATCAAAAATGAAAAAAAAAGAATGCAGCAGTGGTGTAACATGGGTTTATATCGTGTCAGAGCAATACACACTGCCCCTCACCCTCTCCCATTTCGATTCCATTTTGGTAAAGTCTTTTCATCTATCTATACATAATGTATGCGTGGCCAGTTACAGAAAAAACTTACCCTGAGAGCCTCTTCTTCCGCCTGTTCTTCTTCTTCCGCTTTCTTCTGCAACTCGTCGTAAGACATGGCGACGATAGCCAATATTAAGTTGACGAGGTAAAATGAACCCAAGAAGATGATTACAACGAAGAACAGAACGTGCCATGATCCAGCTGATCTTAATACCTGAAAAAGCGAAAAGAGTATTTCAGTAGATACAAATTCAGTTAAAACTAAAATATGATGTAATAATAATCATCGTTAAAAGTACAGCCCATAATACTGTATTAGTATTAATTATAGTATCTCTCCTCTTACTGCGAATATCTTCGTTACGAATTCTGTGATACAATATAAAATGGTGTGTGTGTGACATGGAGCTTCATACAATCACCAGTGAAGTTTTATTTTAACTTTATTCTTTATAGCGTTCTCCTACAAATCAACACCAAGGACGGACTCAATTCCTTTAGGCATTCTCTGCAAGTTAACCCAAGGAATGACGAAGCAAAATAAAAAAAAACCTAACAAGTATCATATTTCATTATAATTCCACAAAATAACATTGATATCTAACTACATACAGCCTACATACGTCCCACCGCTAGGCACAGGCCTCCTCTCATTTCTGAGAGGGTTTTAGGGCAAGGAAATGTCCGCCGCACTTCCCCAATTCGTAAGTACTGGCGAATATCACATGTCTTCTAAATATTTTTTTTCTTATTTCTCAGACATGCAGGTTTTCTTACGATGTTTACCTTCACCGCCAAGCACGTAGTAAATCAGCACTTAAAGTTGCAATTAATAATTTCATTGGTGCCAGTGGAAATCGAACCCGGGTTGCTTGCGTACTGTGAAATTTACAGCGGACGCTAACCATCTGAGCTACCACGGCTCTCGGATTTGACTTCATATTTTATATGCATTTTACAGATAATCGAAGGAAAAATTAAATATACCCTCTATATAATTAATACATACTTAAGTATAATTATTCTTTATTGTACAACTGGATAAAAAAAAAGTTTTACAAAACGAGGATTTAATGCCAGCAATGGGAGAGAATGCCTTGCATCCAGGCATTCTCTCCCAATCAATCCCGGGCGGCTACTATAAATAAATATAGTTCATAAAAGATAGCTTGATCTCTGCGACAGCTGTCAGTAAAAATCACGCCTATGAAGTCCTGAATTTCTTACAGTACCTGCCAATGTCATACTTTATGGGCATGCACTAATTAGGTCGGCATGCCCATAAAGTATGACATTGACAGGTGCTGTCTGTACTAAGAAATTCAGGGCTTCATAGGCGTGATTTTACTGGCAGGTGTCACAGAGATCAAGCTATCTTTTATGAACTATATTTAACAATTACATATAGGAATGGCTTGTGGAGGCACAGTGCTCTAATATGAGAGTATAATATCACTCCATCTGGTTATGATATATCAGTATCGATGACGAGATATTTTAAATCAGTATAGAAACAATAATTATATAAAATCACAAAATTGTCAGACTGGCTAATGAGGGAAGTAGTGATGGGGCTACGACGGTTATTGAGTGAGTGCATTTGCTAAATTTTCACTCCGTAACCATGGGTGCTGTAAAGTGCTCGAAACGTCGGGAATATAAAAAACTTAATATACACGATAAAATTCGTAAAAACTAGTTTTTTTTTAATGTGTAGATAGTGTTCGCGTAAACATAAGAAATCACTCCTAATATTCCCGTTAACTGCTTCCAGATAAATGTAAATGCTGGGAAATTCTGACAAAGGTCCGATTTTGCTGAACTTTATTGTGTGATTGAATGGGTCCCTGGATGGTCAAAGTTCACAATTAGACCGGGTAGGTGGCCCAAATGTCGAGATCGAGAAATCACCCGTGCGAAGTTGGGTCGGATCATTAGTAAAATATAAAAATTAATTGCTATCAGTTAGTCTCGTAACAACTCGAAAATGTACTGGACCGATTTTAATGAACGTTTTTTGTGTGTGCTTGAGTGGATGGTTTAGATTCACATTTGGCCCCAAGGTTATTAAAATTAGTTAATTTATTAATTGATTGTCTCTTAGGCCCGCCACACACTACATACGGAATTCCGTTTCGTAATTCCGAAACGAAACGTAAGGGTCGGCCATATACATACGGAATTCCGTTTTGACCGCAAAATTTCAAACGGAAAACTCCCGTAGGTGTGTGACGGGTCCTTGACTCTATATGGATTTGCTGCGTTCGGAATCCCGAAATCCTATCCGATCCTATCCGTATGCATGTGTCGGGCCTTATGGTTTCCGATAACTAGCTGTATAATCATCTCATTTACGGTACGTCTTAAAATACAAGTCCAGCAGTGCACTTTTCCGGTATGATGACGACGATGGAAACTGAGTTTTGCTTTGATAGAAATAAAAACTATTTTTCAATATGGATTCTGAATAACAATTATAGAACGTCATTGTTATGTTTAATTTACCATTGCTGGTTCGAAACGTACCACTGTCTCGGGAAAACCAGCGGGACTCGCTAAGAAAATTGGAAATTTTCAAAAATCGGGAAGTTACTGTTTTTACCCCGTTTTTCTAAAATTGAGTTTTCATCAAATCTTGACGTTTTGAGGTCACAGGAAGCCACCCTGACAATTTTTCGATGGTGTCTGTATGCTCGTATGTGTGTACGTACCCTCTCGTAACCTCTTATAACTTTTGAACAGCTTGACCGATTGTAATGAACTAAGCGGATTTCCAAAGTGTTTCATCAAACTTATATTTCCTACGAATTTTAACAAATTCGTACCGGTAGATTTTGAGAAATTACAAAAATAAAAATTTTGAATAACTGTTTTTACGGAATAACTTTTATACGGCTTTACTAATCGGTTCCCTTGAAAAACCACGTCGATCGCCGCCGGTCCGATCAAAATCGGTTGATTCGGTCGTGAGATATCGTTAACGAAAAGAGAAGAGAAATCTTTAAAAGCGGCAGTAGCATAATGGCAGGGCGCGGACCGCGAACTCGAAAAGGTCGTGGGTTCGAATCCGCCATTCGACTACTGGCGTGAACCACTCGTAACACAAGCAATTTAAGCTTACCACGAGTGGTTAAGGGGAATATTAGTAATGTTTATAGCATTGTTAATATTCTTTATTTTTTAAATTAAAAAAAATGATTTTTTTTAAATTACTCCGATATTTCATATTCAACGTCATAATTTGGTGAAATTTGGAGCTCTTTGCATTTGAAATTAGCGGGAAGTTCCAGGGATGGCCTGCAGGGTCAACTAAGTTTTTTTTGTAAAAGAACAGGTTGAACAGTTTTTTGTTCAAAAGAACAGATCGGAGCATGTGTTCCGTTTTTCGTACAGCTGTGGAATTAATAAACTTTAATATCGTAGCATTGTTGTGGTGTAGTCTGTGGGGGAGGGGGGCTATGTCCAACTGTGAATTTTTGAATGCTGTACTTGAGTAGAACTGTAATAGAATTATTGCAATATATAATATGTGTACTCCCTACCTCGACCATGGTTCTGTAAAAATGACAATTTGTATTCGATAATTGATAGAATCAGGCGTTACTTTGCGGAAATCCATTATAATAAAGATATTAATAGTTACTTTGCAACCATCCGCTAAATTAAATAAAATGATGTGTCTTCCCTAGTTTGAAGAGCACCTCCCGCCCTCCCTCAATTGCGTGCACTAATCCCGTCACCATTAATCCCAGCACCACTACTCCCAACACCACTATTTTAGGAACGACACACCATCGACGATAGTACGACACGTGTTTCGCCTCTACACGAGGCATCTTAATATGTTGACTCTACGGCTGATCTTAATCTGATCTGATCTTAATACTGATCTAAGCGGTCAACCGCCGTATCGTCTTATTTCTGGTATAACGTTGACGACAATAACGAGGAAAGCTTGGACAAGGTAAAGTAAAAAAAATTAATTATAATTGAAACAAAAAGAGTCGTACCAATTGATAAAGATTCTCCCAATAATCTTGAGTCATTAACCGGAAAGCGGATAAGAAAGCCCAACCGAATGTGTCGAAACTTGTGTAGCCATAGTTTGGATTTGGGCCGTATCCTTGCAGACATACGTAGCCTGGCTCGCATTGCCTACAGAGAAAGTGAATGATAATTTATAGATCAATTTAAATCTCGTTATAATAATGATTGGGTCTGGATTACATACCCTGCTCCTGATGAATTTCCACACAACGGGTAATCGCCATTTTCCTCGTACCAGTTCGCTGAAAAACAAAAGAGGAAGGATTACATAATAAAACGTTTTCGAATCATAGTGATAAGCGAGAGAGCAGATCTTACTTTCATTCTGACAGAATCTCTCCCAGTTTTCGTCGGTCAAGTTGCCCCAACTACCATCTTCCGGAAACGATTTGATGCACTTCTGTGTTAATACTCCCATGTAAATTTGTAGACCCATCAACGCGAATACAGACAAGGAGAACATCGTCAAAATTATCACATCTCGTAGATTTTTCACAGACTCTATTACCGCTCCCACGATAGTCTTCAATCCTGTTAGATGTACATAATTAGTCTAATTTTTCTTCGCGATCTGTGTTGCTAACTATCAATTCTTTTAAGAAATATTTAACAAAATTGCGAAAAATCACACCGTGTTAATTACTAATCACTCTGCATTTCACACCCTTTGACAAAACACATTAATCTATTACATCTATGTCACAAAAGCTTGTTAATGTTACCTAAGCGTTTCTAACACCATAAGCGTATTTACCTTATATTTTTATGCCTACATAAGTTTAAATAAATAAATAAATTTACCCGGTACGATGGCCACAGTCTTCAACGCTCGCAGAACTCTGAACGTTCTGAGCGCGGCCAAGTTGCCGAGATCTATGCCCATCGTCACATAACTGTAAACATACCCACAACCACAACATCTATGTTAATATAACTAACTACTTAACTATATTCACTCTAAAAAAACAACACTTCTATTATTTTCATAGGAATATCTTTCGCACGTAGGCGATACATCTTCGCAGCATTTATGAATTTGCAACTTTCCTGTCGTAAACGTGTAACTGCTAAAATTGATAGTAAAAATTTTTCTATAATGCAGCTATACTTAAAGAGACATTTAAGAATAGATAACGACAAAAATCTACAATTGAACGGTTATAGTAATTGTCTACATAATTATAATAAATTGACTACTACTCACGCTAAAGCTATAACTACGAAGTCAAGCCAATTCCATGCATCTCTAAGGTATGTGAATGGCTGCAGTATAAAACCCCTGGCCATTACTTTCACCGCCGATTCAAACGTGTAGATCCCGGTAAAGATAACTCTGTAAAAATTCACCTCCATTGTGGAACGCCGCTTAACATAATATATAAAATTCTCATAGACAAAATAATAAAATGTCAACTTCTAAAATTGAACGCGTATGTAGGATATTTCTAAAGATTTTAGAGTATTATTCATTAGGGATACAACAAATAAAGATGCTATGTCAACTATATCTAAATGATTAGTACCAATATAAAATATTTACAAATATGTGATTTGATTAATAACCATACTTAACTTAGGATTAAAGATGAAATATAAAAATAACAAAAAGTTGAAAGAAAACCTTCCAAGTGTGTCTTTTTGAAGGTGTTAAAGTTTCATTTAGATGTTTTAATGTGGGCTATTATTTTCGTTAAATTTTAAATACACTAAAAGAAGAAAAACATGACAGTATATTCCTGTAAATGCATAAAAATTGTCTTCATATTTGTTTTTTAAATAATCGTTTTACTAAATATCGAATAGCAACTAGGTCTCCTAAACGTAGATCTTAGTAATAATTCTTTTAATTTATACAATAGAAAAATATTTCCATATCATTAAACAAGGCTATGCGTATATTTCTCTAACAATGCTTTATAGGTATCTAAACACCTGGTAATAATTGGAAAACTAGCTTGAAACTAACAATTTTGAAACTAGCGTGCACTCTACGAATGATTATATGGAAATTGTAATTTTGCTCGTGGGTATGAAAGTGTGTAGCCGGTTAAAATCAATACTCACTCAGTACTTTCGACGGTAGGTGTGGTAGGCATTATCATAAGAATGCAGTTCACTAAGATCGTTGTGATGATGAATAAAGAGAATAGTGGATGAACTAGTATGTATATTGCCACTCTTCTTATTGGGTTAAATGGATCCAGTATCCACAAAGCGTCGCTCGCCGAAAACCTAAAGATATCTTTGCCTTTGCTTATAACTACGAAAGTCTGTAACAAGGAAAATGTCAATGTGAGACTCAGATGATGATTATACGTGGTAGAGCCATGCTGCAGTTATATTAGTAGTATAGTTGTAGCACGAATGGGTCGGCTCGACCGGGGAAGGACCACGCTCTCACAGAATACCAGCGTGAAATAGTAGCTTAATGCTGCTGTATTTCGTATGGTGAGTGTAGAGAACCGGAGACCCTTTTTACTGGAAACGAGGCATTCCATCTTAGTCCTCACGGGTGACAACGCATCTGCATTTTGATTCGTAATCGAGGATAGATGTAGATGTCTATGGGCTACAGCAACCACTTACCATCAGGTGGGCTGTGTGCTCGTTTGTCACCCTATCCTATAAAAAAAAAGAAAAAAAGATGAATAGGCAAGTATTGTCACGTAATGTTTTGACTTGGTAATTCTTCTTGGTACTTGGTAGTTATTAAGAATTTAAAACTGCAGTTAATATTTTTAATCTTCATTGTAAGATTTACAAAATTGATAATATGAAAAAAGTAGGTAGAGGTGGTGTTGCAGCACGAATAGGTTCGCTCGACTGGGAAAGGACCACAGTTTCACAAAAAACCAGCGTGAAATACTAGCTCAGTGTTGCTGTTTTCCGTATAGTGAGTGTAGATAACCGGTAATCTTTTTACTATCGGTATTATATTACGGTACCATCCATCTTAGTCCTCAGGGGTGACAACTGACAACGCATTTGTATGTTGATTTTTGAGCTATAATAGCTGTAGTGTTTGTAGGCTATCGCATTCACTTACCATCAGATGAGCTTAATGCTCTTGGTAATAACCCCTACTCCTATAAAAAAGCTTTAAGTAAAGTAAGAAATATAAAAACTTTACATAACTAACATAACAAGGTGATGGGACTGCCTTTCTGCATAAGCGTTGGTATTGGTAGGGACCACTCCCCTTACATGTTTTTGATCTGGCAAACCTAACTATAGGGCAGTAGTTAGGTTTGCCAGATCGGTAGACCAAAATATCTAGACAAATTTTGAAAATCTTGGGATTTTGGGAACGTTGTCGGGAGAAATGAATATTAAAAATAAAAAAGTTTATTTTTGTTAATAGGTCACAAAAAGTACTATAATCTAAACGCATTAGTAAGTACACTTATTACTTTTTAAGTTGCCACGTGTATTTGTCATTGGACTTTACTAGATTCCTTTAGTAGTATTTAGAAAAGATTTAAAATTTAAACAATTTACTTCAAAGTTTAGTATAATTGTTAACTCAGCTTTTGTTAAATCAAAGGTCATACGTTATTTTTCCGAGAAGCCGTTAGTCTGGTGATTTTGAGTTTTGTCGGGAGTCTGGCGATCATTTGAAATGTCGGGGGGATCCAGACAAATCCCGACCGTCTGGCAACCCTACATGTAGTGCAGGGTGCACTGCAAATACTGCCGTGGTCTAAAATGAAGGGTAAAAGAAGCGAGTATAGTTACATTGTGTGGTGTGCGTCACCCAACATAATATATTTATCGCCTTATTTCTTTGAATTAGTTTGCAGCTTTTCGAAAGCTGCAGTAGCCATTTATCATCAACAGTTACCTCGTTTGTACTTCAAATATTTTAACAAAAGTGGTAAAATTAAAAATTTCATTCAACCAACTTCAATATAAATAAAATGAGAACATCAGCAATGTAGTTTTAAGTCAATTAAATACGCATTATTAGGGATAACTCATAAACTGCTGGCCAGAACTTGACCATATTTATATGGGACCACAAAAATAAGTGATATTCATTCTGTAAATACTAGGAACAAACACAACCTAGTAGTACCAGTTACTCGACTCTTGGGGCGATGTATATGAGAAAATGTACAAAATTTGACTTTGTATATTTTCTGGGATTTTGTTGTGTTTTTTGTGTTTCTTGCTGGTTTTACCCAGGACAGAGGTTTTTTCAGAACCAGTGTAAGTTAAAAAAAGTGACTTTCAATAAATCTATACAAAATAAAAGAGTTTCTGTTTCCGATTCTGCACCAGTTTTCAAATAAAAAAAAATCATCAAAATCGGTTTACCCGCAAAAAATCAAATAAAAAAAATAACAATAGACGTACTTAAAAATACAGTCGAATTGAAAACCTCCTTTTTTAAGTCGATTGAAAACACTAACTTTTGCTCACTGTTTCGTCCGCATGCATCTTCATTCGCCGTGGTTATTTCATTTTTCAATAAAAAAAGTCTAGTGTGTCATATCTCATCTACATCTCATGTACCATGGGTCAAAGAATGTACTTATAATTTAAATTAAGTACTGGATGTGATGTTAAGAAAGGACCTTCTTCTATTTAATCTGTTAAATTTTGTTATCTTTTTTTATAAAATAATTGAAATTCTTTTAATTATTTTATAAAATAATTGAAAAGAACCCAGGGAGACAGAATTATGTAAGTAATAACAAACATCAGTGATGGATTTATGGCAGGAATCTTTTCTCATAATGATGATATTTTGTAATTTAAGAATAAAAATTAATATGAAAAATATATCTATGTAATTGATACTTATCCATTAGGTACATAATGCAATGAAATCAAAGGTCAGTATCCAAAACGAAGCTAAATATTCAATCAAACGAACGAAGAAAAATCACAAAATAAAACAGGGCTATACGCTCGTTAATGGTTATACTTTCGGGTTAAGTGGTTAGCTTTTAATTAACTTACAAATGATTTCATTATATGTACTTCATTTTTTCTATTCTAACCACAACATTTATATCAAACTTTGACACGGTAGCAGTTAAATTAAGAAATTATCTTAATGAGAGTTGGTGCTAACTGTAGCATAATGTTATCTTATGATTTTTTTGTTTGTTTTTTGTTTGCAATTTAATATGATTTTTTTCATACAATAAGGGTAACAAACGAGCACACAGTCCACCTGATGAGTAAGTGGATCCTGTGACCAATAGACATCCACATTTATCCTCGATTAGGAATCAAAATGCAGATGTGTTGTCACCCCTGAGGACTAAGATGTAGCTGTGCCTCGTTTCAAGTAAAAAGGGTCTCCGGTTATCTATATTCATCATACGAAACCCATTTCTCGCAGCATTGAGCTGCTATTGTACGTTGGTATTATGTGAGAAGGTGGTCACACGCGACACATTCGTGCTACAATCATAATATAGCTGCAGCGTGGCTCAATCACGTAAAAAATGTATATTAAACTTCAAAAATTATAACATTGTAGTTTACGAAACAATCGACCATTTTGTCATACTTATCGCACTAGACTCGTTATTTCAAATTCGTTTTCATAAATAGCTGAGTATTAATTAATATGATCTAAACACTGTTACGAACATAAAATATAATATTAGATTGAACAATAGTAAAACTTTAGACATTAAACGCATCTACGTAATAACTAACAAAAATGGAATAAACATTACTAACATTTTAATTTCATACGTGTATGAAATCCTATAAGTAACTAGCATAGAATAGAATAGAGTTAATTAATATAATTTTTATTCGATATAGAATTCGATTTTTATTGGATTTCAAAAGTTTTGTGTAATAATCTATATTGAATAATATAGATAAAGGATTATTTTGGACATAAAACTTTATAATACTTTTTACAATTATTATCAGCGATCACCTTATTTTCAAGGGTTATATTCATGTATTCCCTAATATTATAATAATCATTTTCATACAGTTTTTGTTTAATCAAATTTTTAAATTTTCCAGGATTTTGTTGAAAAAGCGTTTACATTAACCCATAAATGAATTATTAATTCTGTGGAGTCTTAGTATTTAAAGTACCTATAAATATGTTATTGTCAAAACTATTCACGTTTTTATAGTAGGTACACCGATTGCGATTACGCCACTAGCAAAATATTTTTAATGTGATTAATTGAACATTATTTAGGTGATAACAATATCATAATATGAACCTGGTTTATACATTTATTTTTTGCTTTTTGATTGCTGATCGGCATTGTGGCTAGCAACAAGTTTGACGGTTAATTTTATAAGTAGAGTACACCACAAGCGTAGTTAACAAAATTTTACGTTTTCTTAACAATATGTTTGATTTATTACATTTAATAATGAAATTATATAGTTTATTCTTAGAAAATATTTGTTATCAGTCTTATTATAAAACGTGCATTGATAGTCTCGGGCTTCAGTTGTGGTGGAAACATGTTTAACAGATAAGTCATGGCTGGTGGGTGCTCAAAGCGGATCCAATGAGTGGCAAAGTGGCCGTCATTAAAATATGAGTGGTCTGAAGTATATGATTTGCGGGCAGCCCGTGTTGTACAGTCAACTGGTCAAGTTGATCGTTGGTTTTTAGTCTTTACAACGAAGTCGAGTCCAGTTGGTGTGAAGTATTTATGTGTGTGATTGTCTTTAAAATAACATACACTGTGATGGTGGAGCTACACTAACGGGAAACGTCAATGCCCATAAACGCAACAATTATTGCCTTAAGTTTAACGCGATAAAGTGAGTAGCTATACTTGAACAGTCAACGTCGTTTTAGTTTCAATGCCATTGAACGGCATAAAAGAAATTTATGTAACGTATGTAATGTAAAATCGCTGGTGGATCCAATAAATAAATAAATGTACTGGCTCTCTAAATTGGACTGGAATTCAGCAGTACACGTACTGCCATATGGCGGGAGAAATAGGGAAGGGAGTGGTACCAATCCAGACAGACTCATAGACAGAAAAGGAACCTAACACCTAAAAATTATTTAGTATTAACCATCGATATATTATATATATATATATATATATATATATATTTGTGTACTACGCACTAGATTTGGCATTCCGCCAATATCCGAATGTCGAAATGCATGAATATCGAAGTCACAATAAAATCTGTTATTGTGGCTTCGATATTCATGCATTGCGGAGCGCTGCTAATAATATTTTATATAAAATTAACACATATGCAAAATAAACTAAAATTAAAAAAAAATTACGCGATTAACAATACAATCTAAACAAACAATTATTTATTATGACAATTTTCGCGCGCTTTATATCAACTGCGCATGCGCAACTCTACTGTTTGCCGCGCATGTGCGGATACAGAGAAGTGCACATTTTTTGTTTGGAATAGCTTCTCTAAGTATTAACAAACTTGCGCTTTAAAAACTACACTTACTTTTATGTTATGATAAAAAGGATCGATATCCTCGAGGGGAGTGGAAGCGAGCTCCAAGGGGAACGAGCCCTGCATTCGCACCGGCAGTGGGAGACCCTGCTCCAGGGTTGCATCCGGCTGAGGACCTTCATCCTCATCCTCGTCATCGTAACGCACCTGCGACATTCACCCTAACGTTAGTAAATAAAGCAAAAACTAATATTATATTAATGGTTTTCTAGAAATGTGTTTTATGAGTAATGTGAACTTACAATGTTAGAATATGTTTAAGAATAAAGTTTTTGATTTTATATTTTATTTTTACATTACAGTACAGTACATCAATACGAAATTTAGTTAATTAGTCATCACTACAAGCTTTAATTAGTGATGCGCGCTGTGTAAAACAATACTATATCTAGCAACAGTATCCTGGGCGCAGCATGTAAGTGAACGCATTGGAAGCTGTTTGAATGCTAATTTGTGCCACCGTAAGTGTTACCAATATGCTTAATCTGGCAAACTAAAAGCTTTATGCTGAAACGTTCCTCGCCATATTGCCGCCATTTCGAATTTGATAACTCCATGGCTTGACAGTGGTGTAGCGAATTCGAAACGGTACTCAAAATAGGAAGTACGTTGTAATATTGTATGCAAGAAGCTAGCTAGGTGATGCCGCCACCATGCTAGAATGAAACAGCCATAATGATGTCGCAGATATTGGCCAGTCGTGTGCAATGCATGATGATGGTGAACGTTTTGTGCTTTGTGTTTTTGCTAATGCTTTTAATTTTGACTTTTCGTAGTCTATCTTAACACACTCAAAGGGCTTAAGGTACTTACTACACTTGGGAATTTATCACCGATGGTGTTATTAGTTTAAAAATAATTTGTTTATTACATTTAAAGTCATTGTGAACCACTACGGACTTTTTCTAGCATATAAAGGAGTGAAGGTATTTTTTTTTAATTTTAGCTGTTTTTAATAGAGTATATATTTGGTATTGCACTGTTGGATGAAATATTCCTTTTTATGCAAAACAATATGATAAGCTTTCTTTAATCAACTACAAAAAGGTTAGCTGTTACAAAGGATTTGCTAACAGCTAAACTTGAGCGCAACTTTTATGCAAAAACGTTGCGAACAAAGCGATGTGTTTATTAATAATGCATTAAATGCGATTAATGCGCATAAATAGAAATGCAGTTGCAAGTTATCGCAAAACATAAGTATAGACCAATGCCTCGGCAATAAACTTTCATATTTAATTTTGATTAATAAGCGATAACTTGCTGAGAAATTCTTCTAATAAAAACGAGCCGTAAAAGGTAAAAGGGGCAAGCAAGCAATCTTACTTCTTTTTTCTTTTTCGTCCGCCCCAAATCGTTCTGGAATAATTTAAAATTTATTTGTCAGAACTATTCTCCTCCTTCCTGTCCGACTTCAAATGAGTTTTGAATGTTCACTGCTCACTATCGGACTGTCTTCTATGTCATTTAAAACTTTTATAAATAATAAGTTAAGTCAGTAGATTATAGGATGTTTAGAATATGTAGTTGCAAGAATATAACAAACACATTTTAAAACTATAGACCATACAACACAATACATTTATAACCATGGTAATTTCGTACTCACCTCGCCTTCCGCTCGTTTTTTCTCGAGTTCTTTTTGCTTTGCATGTTCCTCAGCTATGCGGGCTTCGATAGCAGCCAGTGACTCGCGTGTGAAAGGTCGGAACAAGCTTGGTTCTTCCTCGCTGATCGAGTCCAAGTCCTCGGACATTGTCTATCGAGCTCCCACTGAGTGAACAGCCTACTGTAAATAAATGTAATATAATGAGCAACTTTTTTGGGTAGAAAATGTCCTTAGTATACTTATCTTTAAAGACTAAAAATATTAGGTATCTCCATTGTAGGAATTTCCTAATGTACCTTTTTAAATCAATTACAGCTTGCTTACTAATATGCAAGTGAATTCTCCACCCCATATTGTCCCGTGGGTGTCGTGAAACGCAACTATAGGAAATGGTGGAAAAATCCTATGGCATTCAATAGATGTTGGTGTAACCATCGCATGAGGTAAATACGGAATATAGAACAGGCAAGACTTATTTACCGTTACCCCCAATCCAGTTGCCAAACGAGCTTCAAAAAGGATATTATTTAATTTAACCATGTAGAATATAGAGACTTTTTTTAATAGGATAATGGTGACAAACAAACAGACCGCCTGATGGTAAGTGGTTGGTGCTGCCCATAGACATCTACACATATCCTCGATTACGAATCAATTGCAGATGCGTTCTCACCCGTAAGGACTAAGATGGAAAGCCTCGTTTCCAGTAAAAAGTCTTTTATTGTGGGGCAATTCAGTAGATATAATAAAAGTATTTAGAGTACAAAAAAAATGTGTGCGTGCAATCTATGGAGCAGGGTATACGGATAGCTGTAAGCCCTTGTTTAAAAAGTACAATATCTTAACATTAATATGCTTGTACATTAAAGAAATATGCATATTTGTAAAACAGCATCCTGAACACTTTGAAAGGCAAATAGATGTAACTGAACGAAATGTAGCACCTAGAAATAAACATAAATTATACTTACCTCAATGCAAGCTCAAATTGTATGAAAGGAACTCTTACGTAAATGCTATAAAAGTGTATAACAAAATACCCAACGACTTTAAAGAGTTACCTTTAACCACGTTTAAAAAAAAGTTAATACAATGGTTAAAAGAAAAATGTTTTTACGATCTAAACGAATTTATGTCTTTTAGTGGAAAATAAATCCGAAGTCAGTAATATTGATATATATCTAATAATTGATTAATTGCAAACAAAATGAAAGTATGGACACTAACACTTAACAACAACCATTAAACAATGCGACATTTTAATTGAATTCCCACTTGTAATTTTTTTTTCATGTATACTAATTAAATATTTGCACACTATATAAAATGGTAGAATGTAAATGGGCCATTATGCATAATTTAAGATCATACTATATTGTACACATACATTCTGGCAAATAAATGAATTTGAATTTGAATTTGAAAGGGTCTCCGGTTCTCTACACTCACCATACGAGATACGGCAGCGTTAAGTTGCTTTTTATGTTGGTATTCTGTGAGAGCGTTCTTCCCCTGTCGAGCCACCATTTGTGCTACAACTATACCACTAATATAGCTGCAGCATGGCTCTACAAGACACGAAGAATAGGCTTTTGTCTGGCTAAGCTAGTATGATTTATCACCTTCGGCTACATCGGACTTACCATTAGGTGGGATAATAGTCACGCAGTGATTTATAATAGTTTATAAAGTGAGGAAAGTAGTAAGTTGTAACCGTAAATACTAAGGCCAGTCGTAACTTACGGCTTACACGTAAGACATAATATATAATGCTGACCAGATGTAACGATGAAAGGTACATTATATCATACAAAATGTAGTCTAGTTTGCGTTTTACACTCGACTGCAGTAAATTTAAATATTATGCTATAGGGTATTTTACCCATTTTCAAAAATTGTTTTAAATGAACCATAGAGTGATAACGAACCACTATATTTTTTTTAAAACCGGATAGTGCCATAAAAATTACTTTTAATCTATCGTGTTAAATTTTCGCGTGAAAACCCTAGCCACCATGTTGTTTAACTCGTGACGTCACTGTCGTCGATTCCGTCGATTTTGCAAAGGAATAAGATACTTTTTAATGTTTAATAATGAGTTATCATCTAAATCATTGTTGTGTTGTACCTGAATGCAAAAATACGAGCATTAGAACGCCAGGAAAATTGTGGATTTAGGTGCTAACTGATTTAAATATAAGAAATACTTGGCTAAAACTGGCAAGAAGATACCCAAATACATTGTCTACAAAAACCAGACTATTCTTCTGTGAAGATCATTTTGATGTAAGTATGACTTATATTTAACTATCGTTTAACACAAAACAAACATCATGAGGTGAAGGGTATCGCAAGTTAAATTTTGTAATAAATTAGGTTAACTTACATATTATACCTATGATTGCTAATGATTGTAATTATAGATAAACTAAACTATGATAGCTACTAAACTATGTTTTATCAAAATACACTCTCACCTGGTATTGTGTTTTTGTATAAACAAAAGTTGGTAATAGGTACTTACATTGATGTTTTAACATTCCTCAACTCAGCAGAATAAAAATTGCGATTGCATGCAAAAAATTTTGCCACCATCAATTTATTTATCCTTGGTATATTAGTACTTTCTGCTTTTACGAGTTCGTCCTCCATGATTGATTGCCTTTGCAATAAAATTCCTAATAAAACTTAATAATCGTAATGATAACTTGGAAATTTTCGAAATAACACAGCACGTTAGCTAGTTCTCTTAATCAGTGATACAGGACATTAATATCCTTAGGCTGGATCAGTGACGTCACGACGTGGTTAATATGGCAGACACCGTTTTACAGATTTAGGCACAGACGAAAAAAAATATTCTTAAAATTTAAATATAAAATTTATAATGCAATTTTATAAACAGAAATCAATATTTCTCGTTTACTTTTTACAAAATCTATCATAAAGATATATTTTTTGATTTTATTTTACATGCTGTAAAATACCCTATTATACATAGTAGTCTTAACCCTAGTATAATCGTATTTAACGATTCCGTAGATAGTAATAGTACCAGATGAAAATTTCAAAACAACACAATTTATTTAAAAAAAAAATAAAAAGGTTCAGAATAAGTAGTGCAGTGACATAGAGCAGCGTAAAAGCTGCTCTATGTCGTCTATCTGGTTATTTTACGTCTGGCGTTACGCGATAAATAAGTCGTCATCTGTTGAATGCCATATCTTTCTAGTATTTCACATACGAGTGATTGCCTTTTATGATACCCTTGGGTCATAACAGGCTGATGGAATCTCCACCGCACGGCCAACTTAGTGGCTTTAAAAACTTAGCTTTAAAAACTTAGTGGCTCAAAAACAAACAAATCGTTTCAAAAATTATGGCAAGTAGTGGTAGATATAGGAGCATTTTAAGTATTTCTTTGACAGCTAAGCTAACCTTTCAAGGATTACCTTTAGGTGTATTAGCATCTTACGAATTAATAAGTAAGGCTCTGGCCACCAGAAAAAACAGAAAATTCATCTGAATAGGCGGAACTTTATGAAAATAAATCCCACTGTGGGGCTCAGACCCGCCTCTCATTTATAAAACGGTTGTAGGGCGTGGAAATGTCCGCCGTTCTGCCCCTGTGCGTATTAGAGATCTTCACAAGTCTTTGAAAGATTTTTTTTAAATATGCTCAGACACGCAGTTTTGCTCAAGATGTTTTATTCGCCGCGTAGTAAAATAAAGAATAAAGGTAACAAATGAGCACATAATCCACCTGATGATAAGTGAATGCTGCGACCCGTAGACATCTATATCTATCTGATGACTAAGACGGAAGACTTCGTAACCAGTAAAAAGGTCTCTAGTGTAGTTCTCTACACTTACCATACACAGAAATATAATACTTAGAAACACAGCACTATTTTGCTGTTTAAAGATGGTTTTCTGTACGAGCGCGGTCCTACCCCGATCAAAGCATTCGTACAGCTATGAGTGGTAAATAGGCACTTAAGATGACAACTATGTGTTAACGTCGCAAGCATAAAATCAGTAAATCAATGTTTATGTAGAGAGGCTAATCTCTGAACCTTAAGACAGTGTGTGAATGTGCGAATGTTATATGAATGTAGCGATGGATACAGGAACCTTTGTTTAATTTAAAGTAATGTGTTACGTAACAATCAGTTAAATGATTAAAGGAAATTTTCTTGAAGTATTGTTTGATACAATGTTAGAGTAGTAAACATATATGTTAAGGAAAAACAAGGATAGCCATTGCTAGAGCGAGAGCCTCTTATTATGTCTTGTAGATAAAAATTGCTTAAAACTTCGTTTTAATGCGATTAAAGCTTTGTTTTCCGTTTTAGCTATCTATTTGTTTAAGATAAGTGTTAATTATGATAAGACCTGTGCAAATTGAACGATATTTGTTACTATGAGTCATAATAAATTATATTAATAAATTAATATTTAAGATTTTAAGGTGTACGACATGTATGATAAGATGTAAACTTCGTAATAATGCTTTGTATTTTTTTAATGTCGTGTAAAATGTATGTTTTGTTGTATTTATTATATAATCTTATGTGTTCTTTTTGGACAAGCATAATTTTTGTATGTGTCTATGAAAAAAAAAGTTATTTTGCCAAAAAATGTGACAATGAAAAATACTCGCGAAATAGGAGGCTTTTTGCACACAGCCCACTTTACGGTATAGCGAGAAAAGCATACCCTTATGGCGAATTGCTCGCAATTTGTTCAGAATCTCCTAGGTGTGCGTTGTTTGTAGTTAGCAGTGGCTGCAAATGACCGCCGGTACGACATACTCCGCCGAACGTTGAGTCCCGTGATTCCGTGAGGCGTCGAGGTCACCGGCCCCTAGGTGATTCTTGGCACTTTATGCGTTCCGAGCATTCTGTGCCTAGTCGCGCATTAAAGTGCCACCGTCGCACTTCCCCCAACCCTTTTGTTTGCAAAAGGAGTAGGCAGTGCCCATAGTGAGGAAAGCCGCTTACTATTATCACCATCACATATAGATAGGGCCTTCAGAGTACAACTGACAGGTTAGGTTACACCTTATCATGTCGGGTAGGGACAAGGGGGAACCACCCCCAAGTCAAAAATACCACCCGATAAGAATGGAGTGTTGGAGAGACCTT